GTTGCTCCTCGATAAAAATGAAAATGGACATACCTTCTCCGTAAGGTACTTAAATGCCACTTTTTTCTTTCCTGCTTCATATATATTGCATTCAGAGAATATCTGGAGCGGAAAAATAATAATATCATATTAACCTCGTATAGGATAAAATCCTTGGAAAAATCTGAAGAGTATTTAAGCAATATATATGTATCTATCTATCTGTAGTAGCATTATTACCTGCGATTCTACACTCGCACAAACAGCATATATGCCCCAGTTTCGGGTATAATTGTTATATAAATGTACTTTCGCAAATCTAACACGAGGATGTCTCTGTATGGTCCCATCAAAGAAACAGTGGTGAATGGTAACCCGGATGCATCTGTCATCAATATGCGAGGGATCTGCTCCAATCAGTATTGTCTTATCATGCTGTGAAAAATGACACCTGCATAATGGTTAAACACACGAACTTAAACTTTGCAAGGATAAGAAAAGTGAATTCCAACATGGAGTGAGGATTCACCTCACCTCGAAATTGTAATATCCGTGCTTCCTCTGGAGATATCAATTAGTCCGTCTTCATAGTCACGAAGGCTGCACTGATCTATCCATATGTGTTTAGAATTGGGTTTCATTTGGATTCCATCAACATCTGATCCTCTACCACCTTCAAACTCTAAATTGCATACAATCACATGTTCACATTCCTTCAACCTCAACCCCTTCCCCGTAAGTTTAATCCTCTGACCTCGCCCATCTATAGTCTTGTACGATGATACGTTCAAGTGAGACTTGAGATGGATAGTGCCTGAAATTTCAAAGACAATCCAAAGCGGCTCTTTCTTTCGGCATCCTTCCCTAAGTGAACCCGGACCATCATCTACAAACAAATATAAACACAAACAATCAAATTTAAGCTTCCACACGCAACCATACACATTTCACGACATCAAATGCCGATCTAAAGTTCTCAACAGATCAAACAGCAGCAAGAGATATAATCAAATTAACTAATTTAACAGCAAGATTCATACTTTGGAGTTGGCATGCCAAATTAACTACAAAATCAACCATTTAAACTGACAAAAACCCCTCAAAAGACGGATTCGAATCAACTTCCCATAAGCACTTCCACTACCCCAATCCCCATAAGCAAGTTTTACTTCAATTAGTTGCAAATTAAACACTAACCCACCAATTAAACTTTCAAAACACACAAAACCCAAATCTTCAAAACATAAAGCAAACACATTTACAAAGTGAATTGAAGCTAAAGTTATCAAGAACATGCATCTAGTCAACAAATTGGACTAACAAAACTGACCTGCTAGAGTAGTGACGTGGTAAACGGCCCCGTTGAGACCGCCGACGGCGAGCCGGCCGAAGCCCTCGGCCTGGGCGGCGAGGGCGCGCAAGCTCGAGTTGACGTGAGCGTACGGCAAGGCGACCACCATGCTGCTGGTCTTTTTAGCTGACGATGAGCTAGAACAAGGGATTTGAGCTGCTTGACCCGACGGACCATGTTTAAAGCCAGAACTGGCCGTTTCACCGGAGACGGGGCCGTTACGGCGTTTACGGTGGTGGCCGTGGCAGTTGCCCATTTATGGCAAAAAGGTTGCCGGTTTGTGCTGTGATTATGGTGGAAATTGAAACGAAAAACATTAGTTTTGTGAGTTTGTACCAGTGAAGTGAAAACAGACTCGCATTTATGTAGAAGATGAAGATTGTTTGCGTTTGATGTGATAGTATTTACGTATTCTTGCGTCGGTTATGATTAAGCGTTTCCTCTGTCGGAGTCTCGGAGGGTTTTACTATATTAAAAACCGGGGTAAACACCGACACATTTATGTACGTTATTGTGTTTAACTCACCTTTCGAGTTACCTTTCCGACTTATGAAAAATACTTCATTTCTCGTGTTTGATAAATCTGACTTGAGAAATGTGGTTCCGAGTTTAAGAATTTCTAGTTTGATTGATTTTTCACAAAAATTATTATTTGTTACAATACTAATTATGTATAGGAATTCTCTGCAATCTAAAAGAGCTTTCTTTGTACTACTTATATTACTTAGAGAGTAAGCTTCTCTTTTCTTATTAATATGAATAAAAACACAAAAAATAAGGAATATGACAAATTCCTCAAGCCCTTCTCCACTCTCTCTCTCTCTGTCGTCGACCCTCTCCTTCTCTTTACCCTCAGGAAAATAGGCCATGCTCTTGTTGCTGCTATAAGGAACTAAGGGGGCGTTTGTTGCACCGGACTATTTCGGACTAGACTAGTTTTAGGGACTAAGCTGGACTGGCTTAGACTAGACTAAGCTGAACTAACGTAATGAAGTGTTTGGTACAGTGTCGGACTAAGAAACAAAATAATTAACAAATTCTAATATTATATTATTTAATTTGTATATATTAATATTTTATTATTCATTTTCTCTTTTTTATTTTTTCTCATAACTCTTCTTTCTCGGAAACAATTCCACAATTTGAGATATTATCCAAACCAACTCCCAATTCCATTAATTGCAGATCAGATCAAACCAAAAGGTATTCTAGAATTCTCTTCCTCTTTCCGAAAGTCACAATTGCAGATCTCCAATTCCAAACGCAGATCAAATCAAAGCCAATTTCACAAATCTCTCCCATCTCTCTCTCTCAAGGCAACCTCTTCATCTGAGTGCGGCTAATGATCTTGTTTTCATCGCCGGCGTCCCACCGTCTCAGCTGGTATTCTCGGCCTCCATATTCCTTCCTCACCAACCACTGGGTTTACAAAGATCCTGTCTTTTGGAGATTTGGGTTTCAACGACGGTGATGCAATCCGTCGTCAATCGTGCAAAGCAGACGAATCGAAGTCGAAGTGAAGTAGATGAGTCGAGGTCGAAGCGAAGCAGACAAATCCCAAGTTGAAGCAAAGCACGGTCTTAGCTAGTCCGGTGCTTTTCGGGAGCTCCTGCTAAGACCTTCTAGCGAAGGTTTTAGTCGAGGCGAGTCCTTTAGTCCCATTAAACTGATTCTTTCGATGCAACAAACACGTGACTACTTTAATAACTAGTCCAGTCCAGTTTAGTGTAAGTTAGTGACAAATACACCCTAAAGGATTTTGGAGAATGATCTTTTACAACTAACATTCAAAGGCTTTCATCGCTTCCATCTAATCCACATTCTTCTAGAACATGAAATCGATATTTTAGAAGTCCTGACAACATGAAAACATTTATCATGATGCCTGAACCGCAAATTTATTTATGCTTTGTATACTGCATATATTGCTTGAATATGTATTGTTCATGCATACCCAATATTTTATTATGTTAATTTTGCTATGCAAATATGTATTTATTTGATATTACTACAGTGAATTGTCATGCCTCTATACCTAGGAACATACAAAATCAACACGTAACGTCATCACCTACATGTTTATCTTTTATGCCTTTCCTCCGAGACATGACCAAAACACAAACCAATACTTTAACAGTGCAACAACTTTCCTTTTATATCATGGATGCATCTAACATTGCGTTAAACTGCTTATGTACCCTAAGCAAGGATCAAACTATTCGTAGTTCACCATTATCAACCTCGACAATTTTCATGGCATCCCTTAGCAAGAAAATAACATAAAGTTAGACTGCTATGTACCCTAAGTAAGGATCAAGCCATTCGTAGTTCACCATTATCAACCCCGATATTTTTCATGGCATCCCTTAGCAGGAAAATAACATAAAGTTCCAGAATCACTCCTTGGAACTCACAAGCATAATTCGCTAGATTCCAAACTACCTAACGAAACCATATATAATAACCAAGAATTCTATTTCATCCATCACATACATAACACTATTTTCCAACAACAAGTCAACAAACACAAGAGAATGATTGATCCAAAGAATCAAAGAAGCACCATATTAACTATGTTAATCATCCATTAATATCAAATATCACTTTACTAAGATTAATGGAACCAACCACAATAAGGTCTAACGTATTTCATTATTGAAATCCGAACATTCAACATTATAACCCTAAGTTACAACAACAATTATAAACCTGAGTAACTTCTATGCATAAGAACCTTGGTTTCCAACTAACTAAACGGAAACGAATATGAAATGAAATTCTTGACCCACTAAACGAAATCCAACTAGGAAGTCGTCGCCATCGCTCATTGCTATACATAACTGATAGGATTTTTACCATCTACAAAAGTAGGGATAAAAACACATGAAATACTTGTAAGAATACAAGGAAGTTGTAGTATAGATGCTCGTTCTCCTCAAAGACTATTTGGATAATTTATATAGAAACAATTCCCAATTAAATACTTAGAGTTAAAAATTGAGAAAAGACATTTTAGACTTGAGTAATATTAAAAACGAATTTTAATTAAAAACAAATAGGATAAAAGAATAGAGTTTTAAATACCAATGTATAAAAGCACTAGGGTTCCACCATCACATAGCAATCCTATGCATTTTTACCAATTACTTATCTACATATGCTACTTTGAAGGTTAGGCTTTCCTAATTCATATTCTACTTGAAAACTCCAACATAGAACATATATCTAACATGCAACCCGTCCGGACGTTCGGATCAAATCTGAACATGAAAGACTCATTATGCTTTATGAAAAGCTTTTGAAAAACCATGCAACCCTTAAGATGTGGTGTTCATCTTAAGTGAAATTACAATTATTAATCACAAGAAGCCAGTGTCAATTTCAGGGAGCCTTCCAACCAAAACTGCATTAAATTACTTTTCTAAAGATCCTAATGGTGATCAGACATTAAGACAATTATATAGTTTTAATCACGGTGATCAATAATTCGAAGTATGCATGCAATCAATCATAAGCAATTAAATAAAAATTACATATTCATGCAAAGGCGCAAGGCTTCACCCTAGCCAAAGGAATTAGTTACATATATTCATAATTGAAATCATAGAAAATATTATTAAGAAAAGGATTGAAAACACCTTAAAGTAGAAAATCTCCAAGAACCCTAGCAATTCTCTCTGTCTCCAAAGTTGCCTAAAAGAAAGCGTAGAAAAGACTAAGAATGGCAAAGCAATATATTTGCTAAGCCATCGCACAAACCCTAAGACATAGGTCCTTTATTCCAACTAGGAAACTAAATAATAGCAAAATATCTTAGAAAATAAAGTCATAATTAAACTAGGAGAAACTGCACAGAAACTGTCCACCCACGTTTTAACCTCAAATCTCCTCAAAATCTGGCCCATAACAGCTTGTTTAGAAGATCAAGACGTTCTGAACACATCTCCAGAAGGCCACGAACCCATCCGAGGTCCTCTTAGGCTCCAAAAACGCAAGTCAAGCCCAAAACGTCACTATTCCAGCACCGCGCATCACTCCTTTATTTTATTGCCAGAAAATAACCGCTTAGTGGAAAAATCTAATATTTTGATATGATCAAGCAAAATGACTCACAATCGTCCTCCAACTAGAATTACTTCAAAATTCGTCCATTTGACCATGTTTTGCTCCAGAAGAAGTCGAAAGTCCTATATTGAAAATACAATTCAAAGTATCAAAATTCTTCCAAAATATTAACTAAAATATACTAAGAATAGGATAAAATATATAATGTGAAATTGACTCATCAATAACCATAGGCCTAGTCTAATGGTGTAGGCACCCATTGCGGGTATACCAAGTATGATCACCCCTAAAATTGGTAAGCCCCTTCATCGCGGATATACCAAGCAAGGCCGTCTCTTATAGCTCTAGGTAGTGATCACTCATCAAGGATTTACCAAGCATGATCACCCCTAGCATGCGTATGGTCCCCCATTGTAGATATACTAAGCGGAACCATAGGCATACTCTAATCGCACAGGCAGTGATCACCCATCGCAGATATACCAAGCATAATCACCCCTGAAATAAGTATGGTCCCCTATAAAAACAAAACGTTGCAAACATATTTATCAATCTTAAACTATTAGGGCTTTCAATTCCATTAGGATCGACATTACATAAGGTATAATAACAAAGAGCTTATTTTAGCCATAACACATGTACTCTTCACCAAATCTCACTTTAGCCCCCACACTCTATATTGACTCAATTTACCACCTGCACTCTTTCTTCGTGTCACACTGTAGCCCCTACACTCTATATTGTCTCACTTTAACACATGCATTCTTCCTCAATATCCCACTTTTACCATATTTCATCAAATAATTAAAAAGAGCCATTAATTGTGCTAACGTGGCATGGACAATTTAGTTTTTTCAACTATGTTAGTAAGACCCATTGGTGAAAGAATGTGAGTTAAACTCAAACCAGGGTTTGATTTCTCCATTCTAAAGAAAATAAAGAAGAGGAGAGCGATAGAGGTAGATTCTCCTCAAGAATCTCTGTAAAAGAACATTGAAATTGATTCGTAAAGTGAAATTCAACCTTCACTTCTTATATTTCAACCTTCATTTCTTATATTCAACCTTCTTTCTTATATTTTTCTCTTGATATGGGAAATCAAACCCTAGTTTGAGTTTAATCCACCTGTTATTATCCTTGGGTCCTACTAACATACCATGTCACATGCCACACAACCAACTTAGTTGAAAATTTTAAATTGTCCATGTCACATCAACACAACTAATGTCTCTCTTATAACTTATTTGACGAAATATGGTGAAATAAGACATTGAGGAAGAATACATGTTTTAACGTGAGACAATATAGAACATATGAATAAAATGCGACATGAAGAAAGAATACCGATGATAAAGTGAAAGAATATAAATCATAGATATAAAAGTAAGATATTGCGAAGAATACAAGTATTATAACTAAAATTAAGCCGAACAAAAGATTGTATGGACTTATAAGGTTTGACATTACCCAAATTATGTGTCTTTTTTTCCCAAGAGTTATCAGTTAAAAATTAACTGAAAGCGGGTTACAATGATTCTTTTTCTTGTTACACAAGTAACCTAGTTTGGTACGAGGTTGGTGTTCGATCCGGTTGCCTCGTGGTGTCAAAATTTGTACAGCACTGCTGGCACCAAATTAACGACCTCATTTATTTCATTTATTTTTGAATTTTTTTAATATCAACCTCCTTTTTTTAATTTTGAAAATAAAAAGACAAAAAACCCAAAGCTCCCCTGTTCTTGGCCACCCACCACCCGCCACCCGCCGCCACCTCCTCCCGCCCCGCCCCCATCAGCTCTGCCTTCTTCCTCGACTTCAAATCCTAATCGAACACATTCTTCGTTCCCCACGATCAATTGGTCGCATTTTTTTATTATATAATTTTTATATAATATAGAAATGAACAGGTAAAGGCTCGATTTTCACAATGAGAATCCGTTTGGAACCGGGGCATGATTCAGGTACTCCCTCTCCGTCTCTCTTTGCATTACTGTGTGTTTGACTGCCGAGAATCTGCAGGAAAATGAAAGAAAATGCAATTAGGAATTGAATTTTCCCTGATACTTCATTTTCCTTTCTCATTTGATCAATTTTGCGGGAAACACAGAAAAAAGAAGACTTTAATTTTGTTAATTTTTTTTTTGGTATTAATTTCTCAATTACGATTATATAACCACAGAGTATATGATCCAATGAGTTGGTTTTTGTTTTTTTAATTATTTTAAAAATTAATTAAATGAATACATATTGAATTGTGGTTTATTTGATTTGTAAGGAGGTGAAAGGGACCTGGAGAAGGGGCTGGCGCAGCCCTCGACCCCAGGAGCTCTGTCGGAGCCGCCGTCGTCGCCGCACCCGTCGAGGCCGACCCTGGTGGTCTCCAATTCCAGCAAGGCCCTACTGGTTTCAAATTCCGGCAAGGCATTGCTGGTTTCAAATTCCGGCAAGGCATTGCTGGTTTCAAATTCCGGCAAGTCTCTGGTCGTGTCGAATTCCGGGAAGCGCCTTGATCAGTTGGGGAGGAAGAAGTATGTGAAGCAGGTGACCGGGCGCAACAATGACACGGAGCTTCACCTGGCTGCGCGCCGCGGGGATTTGGCAGCGCTGCAGCAGTTTCTAGCGGAGATTGACGCTCAGATGGTGGGATCCGAGTTTGATGAAGAGGTGGCAGAGATTAGGTCTGCCATTGTGAATGAGGTGAATGAGTTGGGAGAGACGGCGCTTTTCATAGCGGCGGAGCAGGGGCATCTTGCTATGGTGGAGGAGCTTTTGCCTTACATGACGGAGGAGGGCATTTTGTTGAAGAATCAAATTGGGTTTGATGCATTGCATATTGCTGCAAATCAAGGGCACCAAGGTAAGCCATAAAGTTAGATAACTCGAGCCCGAATTTGAATTTCGTTCTTGTTCTTATTTCAGTTGTATGATATCTATGTGTTTATGGGATGTTGAAATGGAGAAGTTTTTAGTGTGACGGTCATTACTATCACATGGTGTTATTAATCCATACATGTTATAGTATTGGTGAACGAAAGATCAGTTGTTTTTAATTCCCTTGTCGAATTTTTGAGTCCAGAGTTGGAATAGTGTTGTGTTACGTCCATAACAGGTATAGTTCTTTTTGAGAAGTTTGTGTTCTGTTTTGTTTTAAACTTTTAGTTCAGGCACTGTGAGTTTTTTCTGCTCTGTTATTGGTGATAATCGAGTTTCAATATCGTATCACCTCAGTTCAATAACTGCTAACCAGCTTTATGCAGCCATTGTCCAGGTGCTCTTAGACCATGACCCTGGGCTTAGCAAAACAGTTGGGCAGGCAAATGCTACCCCTCTTGTGTCTGCAGCTACAAGAGGGCATACAGCAGTAGTTAAAGAATTACTATCCAAAGATTCGAGTTTGCTGGAAGTAGCAAAATCCAATGGGAAGAATGCATTGCATCTTGCTGCACGGCAGGGGCATGTAGAAATTGTGAAAACTTTGCTTGGAAGGGATCCACAACTAGCAAGAAGAACTGATAAGAAAGGACAAACTGCTTTGAATATGGCAGTAAAAGGTGTTAGCAGTGAACTTGTGAGGTTGATTGTCGATGCGGATCCAGCTATTGTCATGCTTCCAGACAAGTTCGGCAATTCAGCATTGCATGTGGCCACCAGGAAAAAGCGAGTAGATGTATGTATTTCCATTGTTGGATCTTCAAGTTTTGACATGTCAATATAATCTTGTTCTATGATTGGATAGTTAATATTGAATTTATTCATTTTATCTTAATACGAGTTCCTTGTTTTGCTGAAAGTTTTTTTGATTGATCTGCAATTAACTATTAACTGATTTTGAGCTTGGTTTACATCTTTAGAAATTTAATTTCTCATTACGCTTGCAGATAGTCAATGTGCTATTGCTCGTTCATGACACAAATGTGAATGTTCTAACAAGAGACCAGAAAACACCCCTTGATATAGCCGAAGGACTTCCATACTCTGAAGAAATCACAACAATTAAGGAAACCTTGACACAATATGGCGCTGTCCGAGCAAATGAACTTAACCAGCCACGGGATGAGCTTAGAAACACCGTGACAGAGATTAAAAAAAATGTCCATAATCAGCTTGAACAAGCCCGCAAAACCAACCAGAGTGTTACTGGAATTGCCACGGAGCTCCGGAAGCTACAAAGGGAAGGAATCAATAATGCCACTAACTCAGTCACAGTGGTTGCTTCACTCTTTGCAACAGTAGCTTTTGCAGCTCTATTTACACTTCCTGGTGGTGATCTTGACTCCGGGGCAGCTGTTATGTCAATCCAAGTGTCATTTAAAATTTTCATCCTTTTCAATGCTGTTTCACTGTTCGCATCATTGGCTGTTGTTTTGGTACAAATCACCCTCGTCAGGGGGGAGACAAAGGCCGAGAGGAGGGTTGTGGAAGTGATCAATAAGTTGATGTGGCTGGCCTCTGTCTGCACTACAGTAGCATTTATTTCTTCATCATATATAGTGGTTGGGCGGCATAATGTGTGGGCTGCAATCCTTGTCACAGTTATAGGGGGACTTATAATGGGGGGAGTTATTGGTACCATGACATATTACGTGGTGAAGACCAAAAGGATTCATAGAGTGAGGAAGAGAGAGAAGATGTCGAGGATTGGAACCAACTATTCCGTGCGTCACTCAGAGTCCGATTCAGAAGTGAACCGTGTTTATGCCCTGTGATCATAGTCTGGCTGGAACTAGCCTCTGGTTCTATGCCACATGGAGAAGAAAATCAACACAGGATTAGCTGATTCCGAAAAGGTTCTAAGCTATAGATACAAAATTCAGGGACCTTGTAATAGCATCTGTGAATGGACTTGTTTGAAAGTGATTTTCTAGGTGTCTCAAGGATTAAGAAATTTTTCAGCAAAGCTGTTGATGTCCTTGAATCTTCAAAGGCAGCAAGTGAGATATATCATCTGTATATGATATGGCATATACATGGTACCGGTCCATTTGTAACTTGTATAGGTTTTTGTCAGTGGTGAGTTGCTATGCGAATTCTAGCAATAGGTAGTCACTGATTAGTTGTTCAAAATTTTGAACGACACTTTACTCGACATTAATGTCTGATAGCTGTCAATGTATCTGATATATGAATAAAACCTGAAGCATTACATGTGCATACAATCAAATGGTTGAGAAAAGAATGTATTAGGTCGATGTTGCTTGAACTTATGTATAAACAGAGTTTGCTGTGGATGCCTGTGGGGTACAGGTTTCCGTTTCTACTTTTCCCTCATCACATTTTTTTTCCACTCTAAATTGAAAAGTTGCTATATTGTATTGGGGACTTTCCTTCTACTACTGATGAGGGATTGCTTACGAATGCCGTGACTGTTCAAGTTATTGTCCATGCAGATGAGAGAAGCAGTGCTCCAATTAGAGGATTCGAGATTTTGACAATGTTTCTGCAGAAGGTACCATTTTCCTTCATCTCTCTTCATATTTTCTGGTCAATTTTGATAGAACTCATCAAACTACTGACCCTTTGGATGATTCAATATCAAATAGAAACAAAGGGTATGTGATTTGCACAATTTGATCGATATGCAACCATATTGTAGTGAGATTAGTCAAAAATAACAAGTTTTCGACATTTGGAAATTTGTGAGTTGATTGGTTGAACACACCAAAGATCTAATGGCTTTGTAGGATCATGTTCTTTACATAGAGTTCACGTACGATTCTATTTTTACTTTCTCCCAAGCTCGACCCTATTGAAAAGCTTGTACATTTTCTAAAGTTTGTTGCTCCCTTCCATCTTTCTGAGTTACCAGGATAAAAAAAAACGTTTGCTTCAGTGCAATAAATCTGGCGGATGACGATCCCATCGCACGACTGACCTCTTTTCATACACTGGAAGACTTTGACATCCTTGACTTGTTCGTTAGCCGAAGCTGGTAGCCAAGGGCCAAGGCATGCTTTCTTCCTCTAATTGACGTCTCTATCATCGTCAATGCGCATTAGGACTGCACTTAGAGATGACCCCATTTGATTAAACACATGTTTAGGTTGGGAATAATCTCAGTGAACGAAAAAACAATGCAGATATTCTGATGTCGATGTCAAGCAATCCACTTCATGGAACAGATAGTCCATTATGTTACGTATATTTATTTGTCCGCTAATTAAGATCGTGAATGGTTGGGATAACAAGAAGTGCTTTTGCTTTTGTTTTTGGTTAAATTATTGCAGGCTTTTGCTTTTCTGAGTGGCCAAGTACGGTCTCTCATTAGTCATCAGGGGAACCAGGTGCATCACGCGGTGCAGAAAGTCTTGAATCCGCGTGACTGTGGCCTCTAAAAGACAGTGAAGCTACTCGGTTGCACACTCTGTTCACTGGAACTGTTCCTTTTGTCTAAAATTTTCCTTTTGGGAAGATCAAAAGCCCACTCTTAGTAACATTTGACAGAAAAAGTTAAAAGTGATTTTGGATTATGAAAGCACAACTTTTTTAGAAGATGTTTGATTGAAAAAGTTAAAAGTGATTTTAAATTATCGAAGCACTACATTTTTAGAAGAACTTATGAAGTGCTTCTCGGGAAGTGCTTCCAAATGCTTTTCATGAAAGACATGAATACATTAGCATGCATTAGGATGTAGTGCTTCATAATGATTCAACTAGAAGAACTTACAAAGAAAAAGTAGAATTTTGTGCGCTTTTTTTCGCAAAGCACTTTAGTTTTGAAGCTTCAACAATTTTTTTTTGGTGCTTGTAAACAAAAGCGTTGCAAGCGAAAATGCTTATAAGAAAAAATACATAGTGCAAAGCACTTCTACATTTTACATGTTTCTAGCGATTCACATGGCATTGTCTCAAATTTTATCAGGAAATTAACGTCGTTTCCACGAGAAACTCAACAGAACATATACTTCTCCATAAAGCATTTATGTAACTCGGAAAACCCTAATCCATATCCACAAAACGTTGAGAAAGAAAATGGTTTCTGTTACGTAGAGGCAAATTGAACAGCTATCAAAAACACCATTAAGCAGAGACTAATGGAGCAAGTTTGTTTTGATGGGGAAGCCTGATGGATCAAAAGGATGTGAGGGTTTCATATCACTTCATCTCAAAAGCAAAGCATGACTTTCTTTGTGTGGTATAGGTATTAGCTAGTACCAAAAAAAAAAAGAGGTTTAAAGGATAAAGGCTAAAATTTCGGAAGTTGGTTTTGGTTTCAACGTCTTCCCAGAAAAGCTAAAATCCCAAAAGCCAAAAATATCTATGCTGGCTTTGCATGGGCTTATAAGAGCGTTTCTCAAGCATTACTCAAATCTTCTACTTGAATTTAAATATAAGGCAAAATATCTCAAATGCACATAAGACTTAAAACTCATATTTTACTGTGACTCAAATTTGAATTTCAATATGAGATTTGAGTCTAAGGTGGAGCCCATGCCAACTAGGAAAAAATGTTATTCAACCAACAAAAATGAGATTTGAGTTTTGAGTCCAACCATCTTCATTGCACATAAACTGTTTAAAACTCAAATACAAAGTTTTGAGTCTAATGTTTTCTCCTCCAATGTAAAAACTCAAATCTGAAAACTCATTTTGAGTTTTAAAAGTCAAATCTTTGCATTGGAGAATAAAATGAAAATACATAAATCCACATCTTTTGAGACCCAAATATAAGAATATAGGTTAAAGTTTGAGTTTTTGCATTGAAAATGTAAAACTACTTTATAATGTCAATTGATTTTATAATAAAACCTCGACTTCTTCACTAACTCATAATTAGAAAAGAAAAAAAATTATGTAACGTTGCGCATCAGAGTTACTCTAGCCATAGACTGAGAGGTCATGGATGGTCAAATTTCCATACCTTGATACCAAAAACACGATTGCTCACTTTCCAAAACCAGTAAAATTCTAAGTGGAAATGGGAGGGTAAAAATGAAGGCCACCTGCTTTGCAATGAAGCCGGCTTCTCCTTTGGCTGCACACAAAACCCCCTCTCTTCCTTCTTCTTCTTCTTCTTCTTCTTCTTCCATCCCTTGGCAAAGAGATTTTCAGTATGTTGAGAATACAGTCCGATACATAAAGTATTATAATACAAGTAGTTGAATACTTGAAAAAAAAAATTTCAATCACTTGTATTATAATATTTAATGTACCGCACCCCCGTATTCCGATCACAAAAAGAATTTCTTCCTCTAGTGAATCTGTCAACGTCACCTTTTTATAAAGAGTTGGATTTAACTGGAGCTCCACTCGCTCAACCCTCCAATTGTTGGGCTCTCACTATTCGCACTTGAAACTTTCATACTTTCTGGGTCCTTCAAAGTAGTAAGAAGTTCTGCTCTGAGTTCTAACAACCCCCCAACTGCACAAAACTAGTAAGTCCATGCTTTTGTTTCATAAAGTTCAATTTGTTAAAATTAATTTATTATTAAATGAGTGAGCTTTTTGGTATATACTTAGTGCCTAACTGTAGTTTTTATCTTTTATTGGATGGCTAGATAGATATGTAATTAGGCAGTATATATATTTGATTTCCCACTGCAGATACAGTTTCAACTTTGCTTCATTTTAACTTTCGTTCTCGTTTTTTGCCCTCTTGTAATGACCTTTGGATCATGCAAAGAAATGTGCATAGAAAGTTAGAGAGAGAGAGAGAGAGAGAGAGAGAGAGAGAGAGAGTGTTTGAGAATTGGGGTTTAATTTATTTGAATTATTCTGGGTGCAGGAGGAAGATGTCTGGGTGTGTGTTGTGGTTATCAAGGAACCAAATTTACAGATTTCCCACGTGCAAACTCATGGAGATTTAATCTTCTAGGTTGCCTTGTCTTCCATGGTGAAAAGAGAAAAAAAGCTTCAAATGTTAGACATACAGAAATGGAATTGAATACAACGGAAGCTCCAGTGAGGCAGCAAAGCTTTGCTGGGAAGAAGATGACTAAGCTGTTGACAGGAAAGCGCGACAATGGTCCCTTGCATTTGGCAGCTAGAGCAGGAGATTTAGGACTGGTTGTAGAAATCATGTCTAATTGTGGGGAGGAGGAGTTGAATGAACTGTTGTCGAAACAGAATTATGCGGGTGAAACCGCCTTGTATCTGGCTGCTGGTTGTGGATATGTTGGTTTGGTTAAGGAAATGATGAAGTACTATGATGTTGGTGCAGCTAGTATCAAAGCTGGGAACGGCTGTGATGCATTTCACGTTGCTTCCAAGCAAGGGCACTTAGGTTAGTCTCTATCGATGTTTCGAATTTTTGTTAACCCTAATCTGTAATTGTTCCTTGTGAATTGCTATGCATAAGCTTAGACTGCATGCTGTAATCACAAAAGAAAATCTGGCTTCTTGCGTATACAGTTCGTACCTCATTTGATTTGTGAATTTTGTAGGAGACTAGGAAGGTTTTGTAAACCATGATTGAAATCGATAACATATAACTTATCGAGCGGATCATCTTAAATTGTTCTTTTAATGTTTCAGAGGTACTGAAGATCCTCATGGAGGCGATTCCAGAACTTTCAATGACCGTTGATCGTGCAAACACCACGGCATTGCACATCGCTGCAGCACAGGGACACACTGAAGTAGTAAGTTTTCTTTTGGAGACTGGTTGCAGCTTGATGTCCATAGCAAGAAGCAATGGGAAAACTGCCTTGCATTCTGCAGCAAGGAAGGGGCATTTGGAGGTGGTCCAGGCCCTCTTGAGCAAAGATACCGGAACTGCAATAAGAAAAGATAGTAAGGGCCAGACAGCTCTCCATATGGCAGTCAAGGGACAGAATGTCGAATTGGTGGATGAGCTAGCGAAGGCAAATCCTTCGTCGATAAACGAGGTAGATAACAAGGGAAACACTGCCTTGCACGTGGCAACTGGGAAGGGTCGAGCTCAGGTAATGAAAGTTGTTAATTTGATTTATAATATGCAAATGAAAATCGAACTTCTTTAAGAGACCAAATGAATCAATGCGTGTTACTGAGTTTTCGATCATCACTTAAAGTTGAATTATCATGAATATGTTATTCAATTAGGCTTTGGAACGTGGTATTAAAATAGTTATTTGAATCAATCATATATTTAAGCCCCTGAGATTGGACTTTTACAGATTGTTCGAACGCTGTTAAGTTATAAGGGAGTGGCAAAAACCATCATTAACAGATCTGGAGAATCTGTTTTTGACACTGCTGAGAAATCTGGGCACTCAAAGATTGCCACCATTCTAGCAGAGCATGGGATTCAAAGTGCCAAATCCATGAAGCTGCCGACTTTGAACCCAAATCGAGAACTCAAACAAACTGTAAGTGAAATAAAACATGAGGTGCATGATCAGCTTAAGCAAACGAGACAAACAAGAAAGAAAGTGCATGAAATGGTAAAGCGGCTCGGCAAAATGCATTCGGAAGGGCTTAACAACGCAATAAACTCCACCACAGTTGTGGCTGTACTCACTGCCACTGTTGCCTTTGCTGCAATCTTCAGTGTCCCGGGCCAATACCCTGACCCTAAAAAACCTCTTCCTGATGGATTCTCTCCCGGAGAAGCAAACATTGCCCCCAAAACTGAGTTCATAGTCTTCTTCATCTTTGACTCATTTGCTCTCTTCATATCATTGGGTGTTGTGGTGGTTCAAACTTCTATTGTTGTCGTAGAGAGGGAGGCAAAAGAGAGGCTAATGGCAGTCATAAACAAGCTAATGTGGATGGCTTGTGTGATGGTTTCAGTTGCATTTCTTGCACTATCATATGTAATTGTTGGAAAAGAAGAAAAATGGCTGGCTGTTGGAGTGACAGCTATAGGGACAGTGATCATGGGAATGACACTAGGAACAATGTGTTATTGGATGGTTGTGCAGCGCGTTGAAGCATCTAAATATCGTTGTCACATTCGGAGATCATCGCTGAGCATCCGCTCACACTCACACTCAAACTCAAACTCACACTCTTGCTCTTTCTCAGTGATATCGGATTCGGAGCTTCTGAACACCGAGTTTAAGAGTAAGAAAGTTTATGCAATTTGAGATGAAGATATCTTACATATAAACTGCCTGGCTCCTAACATGATTTTTGGGGCCTTATATATATATCGATGTAACATAATCTAAAGTATTTTCAAACATACAATGGCAGAATTCATTAGAGTCGTTTTCCAAATGAGATGGGGTGATAACTTTTTTGAGTTCTGTCATGTAGTTTTTGAATTGGATGTACCAAGAACATGTAACGTGGTGTCTCATTCACTTGCTAGGTTTCATTGCCAAGATTGACGCATGAATTGAATGGGATAAAGATTATTATCATGGCTAGGGAAGCTCCAATCTAACTAAGGTTTTAATTAGAGCACAACTTGGTGTTGAAATGACTGGGATGTGGAGTGAATAGCCTCTCTCACACCATGTCAACCATGCATATAACTTCTCTGCCAGTGGTACATGGGCCGATGTACAATGGTGTATAACTGCAGTTGTGACAACTTTGTGCCGAGTCTCCCTTTACTAGAAAAGAAAACATCACAATATGTAATGTTTTCAGTTACAGAACACGCACTCACTATTTCCCCTCCACCATCCTTGTAAGAAAGTTTTGTTCATTCTAACCTTTTTCAACTAAGTAGTGATATTCACATGTCCATTTTTACTTATAACACACCTCTCTCAGTTTCGGCTGTCAATCGAATGAATTGAAGAATACTAATGGCAAAAAATTCACAAAAGTATGTGGAGGTAAAAATAAATGTATGAATATCATTATCCCTTCAACTAAGCTTTAGGCAAAGTTGGGTATTTAGTCCACATACAATATTACTCCAACATCTCAATAGGGTGAAAGAAAGGAAACCTCAGGATGGATCTAGTTTTGAAAAAACACACGATTCCCCCTCAATGTCTCTATCTATTAATATTCATTTGTGTTGGAGATAATTGAGGTGTACATCGGAGAAATGAAGGGTTACAAAAGAGTGAAGCAAGGATGCTGAGAGAGAGATTTTTTTTTGTTTAATTTTGCAACGTATGGCTTTCGTTGCCTTTTAATGAAATTTACCATCCTTCCCTTCTGCCTCCTCGCCTCAATGTCTCTATCTATTAATATTCAATAAAAATATTATAACAAGATCTAAAGTACCCAAAGTATCCAAGAAAATTCCCAACAGAATAATGGAGTTCTTAGGAAAAAAATAGGATTGCAGAAATCACTATAGTAAAAATAAATAAATAAATAAAACCCCTTTGTGAAAACACAATAGGTACCAACCATTTCCCCTTATTTTCTCTTAAAAAGAGGTAAACAAGATAGAAGACAAGGTGAGGGATTGGGTTGGTCTCACAGGAGAAGACAAGGTGGAGAATGGAGGGGGATGAGGGTTTTCTGCACGTAGACAGGAAGGGAGAAAGAAGACGATAGTGTTTGGTTACGAAGATAGCAGATGGATAGTGTTTGATTATGAAGATAGTAGGACTTTGAGAGAGAATTTTATTTGACAGCTGTCAAAATTTAACGGGTCACGTAGGATGGTGAGCAAATTGACCAAAGTACTATCCGATTATTTATGAGGAGAATGACTGAAAGAACAATTAGTACTTACTAAATTTACCAAAAAGAAAATAAATTAGTACTTGCTAAAATCCCTTGTGCGATTCTTAGAGCTCTGACCTCTCCAAATTCCAAGTTTGCGTTACGTAGTTTTCTCAAACACACCAAGAATGAGTTTCCTGCAAGAAATTATATATACCAAAATCCAGTTTTTGGTTACGATCAATAGTGTAGCAAAGGAAAGGTAACTCAATCTCGGTTGAATCAGCCAAAATGAAAAAGGAGGTTTGCTTTGTTTAGGCTTGCGCTTGCCAACTTAAGTGAGAACATAGAATGTTTCACAGGTTTAATGGGATCCCCTAAATCTCTTAATGCTGGTAATTGAAAGGTGTCCCACGAAGAACATTCCAAAAAACCTCCTAAAGTCAAGGCCCGATGAGAAAGGCGAAACATGTTCCCAATAGACTTGAAAGTGAAAGTTAGATGATCAGAAAAGGAAAGGGATATCCATCCGAACAAATTTTCCCTTTATTTTCTTCACAATTTTTAGCATTCTTTTAGATAGTGCAATAAATTGCCAATTTTGCCCATGCTAGACGCGTGGTGGTAAGGGAATGAAGCTTAATTTACGCATGTTAGTCATCTGGGAAAGGAAGTAAGGTGGAAAAGTAAAGCTCTTCCATTTGTTTCCATAGATTTCTCGAGCTCTCTCTCAAGCCCGGAACCCTAGCCTCCGCAAGCGAATCAGGTTCGTCTCTCGCTCTCTCTCTCTCTCTCACATATTTTTTTTTCAATTCGAGACCAAATTTTGATCATCGTTGGAGCTCCCGCTTCCACTTATTTTCTGTTTTTTCTTTTCCTTTCGCCTCTCTCTCTCTCTCTCTCGAGCGTTTTTAATTTTTTTTGTTAATTAAATTACAAATAAGTATTAATGGCCTTCATTTGGTACCAATCAATCAAGTGAGAGATGAGTTGTTTAAATGTTTGATTTGAGTTGTTTGAATGTTTTATTTTACTTGAATTCGAGTCTCCAACTAGAAGAAAGAGAAAGATCTGAATGGGAGCAAGGCAGAACATGGAACAAACGAGTGCATGAGAATTTTATGTTCAGGGGATTTGGGGAAAGGGTGACCAATCATTTGAAAAAACTCAGGTATATGGTTGTTCCTCTTCGAATTACGTGAACATGGCTGTATATTTATTTCTTTTGTGTCAATTATTAGAAAGAATGCACTGGACATTGACATTCTTTTAGACATAATTAACAGGAACATCAAAATGGTTAATTCTACTATGCTCTCATTTATATTTTTCACCTCACAATGTTCCTTTTCCTTCTCTTGGCATGATAATTTGAAATGGTAGTGCATTATAGTAATAGTTATATATTTGATCTATCACTTGGATGTGAAATCCCGTTCATAGTTTTCACTGTTATAATCTACGTATTTGCATTATTGAGATTTTATATTATTTTTTGAGAATTTATATTAATTTATTTGAATTTAGATTTTAATTAAACTAGTTACGAAGTTTAAAGTTTGGAAATTAATTATCTAAAATCCGTACACCTTTCGAGGTCACAATTTATATTTTCGAATAGAGCTCGATCACATGAACGCGTAGGCGCAAACTATTCGTGAAACGGATCTATAACGAAAGAGTTATTAACGTTTAAATTTAGGGACATTTTTGTAATTTTGACCCTCATTTAGAATTCTCCAGATTTTCTGGAGCCATGAGATGTGCCACGTGTGTCATTGGGATGAAAGGAAAAGAAGAGAAAGGAGAGAAAGGGACGGCTGAGATGAAAAGGAGAGAAGAGAAAATGAGAGATAAGGGGAAACGGAAGGGCCAATTAGGAGAGGGGAGGGGAAGGAGCGGCCAATGAGAAAGAGGGAAAGAAGGGGAAAGAAGAAAGGAGGAGAATGAGGGGAACCAAACCGATTCCCCCTTGACCCACAACCCAGTCGTGACCCATGTGTTTCTCTGATGAAATTCATCATTTTTTTCGACGAATTGGGCCGATCTACCATTCCCAATCATCATCTCAACCCTTTCTCTACCATTTCCACATCAAATTCATGAAGATTGGGTTCGAGATTGTGGAGAAATGTACTGGTTGGTGTGATAGGCTTCGGGGCGGTGATCCATCAAATCCAAAGGTAACTCCATCAACAACCACCACCAAAAGGCTTCCCTCAAACTCAGGAACAAAGCTCAAGCAGGTTTGAGGGCGGTGGAGCACCGGAAGTGACGGATTTAAGCACACCCTTTTTAGGGTTTTCGGCAGGTTCGAGGGAAATTGAAGCTTTTCCCGACCAAATTGGGCTTAGTCACAAGTATGAAACTTGTTCCACTCATCGAGATCTACATTTCTGTGAAATTTGGTAATTTTTAGAAATAGTTGAATTTTCCGATGGGTCAGGGCGATCGTTCGCCGCGTGCGGCAATGCATGAGCCGAGACTCCACCTGACCATCCTAGGCTAATTTTGATGCCCCGATTCCATATTTGACATCCATTTAGTGAAATTCTATTGTTTTAGTATAGTTTTTTAATTGACCACCTAGTTGGCCCTCACGAGGTCATTATATGAATTGACAATCTGACCGTTGGATTAGCACCAAACTTAAATATGTAATAGTATATAATATTTGAGGATAGTAGGAACTGATGGATTGGGAATCCGACATAGGGATCTTCCCAAATTGGATTTTTAAGTTTGTAAAACCAATTGTTGACCGCCACTTGGCCTACTTGAATTTAAGATTGGCGGAGATCCGACCGTCGGATTGTGATGAGATTTTAGTATGTTGTTCTATGAGCATAATGTGGACCTTAGGAAGGTACAGGTCCGAAATACGATGTGTGGATCTTCAAATTAAATTGCTAGGGTGTGGACCCCATCATTGACTGAGAGTTGACTTTTGGTCAACATGTCCTGAACCATTTGAATTACTAAAATTATTATTATTAAAGACTTAGTGAGGCTTTACGGACTTGTCTCGGTAAGTGACTTTAATACATGTGATATGGTTATTACCCTGTTTTCTTATATTAGTATCCTTTGTGGATATGACTTGGTTTATAAATGTGTTTTCTATTAAAATGTAATTTTATAATTGGCCATCGATCTATTTTTATTAAATGTAATTTGATTCATGGATTGGAAATATTTGTGAAAAAGTGATTTGAAGTGCATAATGAAAAGTTTGTTAAACTTGAGGGCTAGTAAGGGGTCGTTACCCTAGTGTCACGGGGTTAGGTGACACCGAGTCTACACCATGTAGTAGTGGTACATGGATGGTCCTGCTTGGTTAATCCGCGATAGGAGACCATACTATTTATAGATCGCGCTTGGTTAATCCGCAATGGGCAATCCTTATGGCCATATATACTTAGGAGTGATCATGCTTGGTTAATCCACGATGAGTGATCACTGCTTATGACCCTGCTTGGTTCATCCACGACAGGGGGTCACTAGTGGTCCTACTTGGTTAATCCGTAATAGGAGACCATATTATATTATGGATCGTGCTTGGTTAATCCACGATGGGCGATCCTTATAGCCATACATACTTAGGGGTGATCATGCTTGGTTAATCTGCGATGGGCGATCATTGCCTAACAGATTCGTAAGAGCGACTCTACTTGGTTAATCCATGATTGGGGGTCACTACCTACATGGTTTCTCAGGGGTGGCTCTGCTTAGTTAATCCGCTATGTGGGGCCACTTCTTGTTTGGTTACTTATGTAGGCTTCGGCCAGACTGCGTCCCTCTAGCCTAGTTTTTAACGTATTTATGAACAACAGTTTTTGAGAATCTTTGTTGTTTTAATTAGAAAAGCCATTGGATGTCTAGGTGACTCCTTCAAAGTTTTTAGTGACTTGACTATGATTTCATAAATATAAACTTATATTTTTGATTTATAAACTATGATCGATGGCCTTTCTTTTTATTGAATATCACATACTTGTATTATTATCACTCACCCAAGCTTCGCAGCTTATCCGAGTTCTGATTTACCCAGTGCACCATTCCTATGATTTAGGCACTGATTATACATGTGATAGGTCATGGTAGATTACGAGAAACCGCTTGATATTTTGGTTCCATTGAGTGGTCAGGAATCCTTGCTCTTGCTTATTTCCATAAGGTTAGTCTAGAACCCTAGATTCGAGTGAATGGGAATTACCCACAATAGACCTTGTGAATATAAATTAGATTTACCATGTTATTACTCATAATCCAAGTAAGGAATTATATAGAGTTCCTTAATTAAATTCGTGGAATAATATGTTATCTCATTAATTGATTAATGTAGTTAAATGTTAAAATCATGCATCTTTGATTGATGAATTGATTAATTGACAGGATTGTGGAATGACGTTGGATATGATTATTATTGTGATTATTTTCGTTTATCAATTTGGCTTGATATGTTACATGTTGTGGATGGAAGTATCATGTTGAAAACTTAGTGATTTATATGATGGATGGAATGGAAACGTTGAATGTCAAGTGGGTTTGTTGGGTAACCCTAAACCTAGTAATTTCATGCTTGTTAAGTTCTAATGATTTATTAAGGAATGCTATACTTTTCGATTTGAACATACTACGATAAACGTCGGAGTGTAGTAAATGGTGAACTACAAATGGCTTGATCCCTATTTAGAGTACGTAGACAATCTAACGAGGAGGTTAGATGCAGCCATAAAGCATACAAAAATTACTATGAAATCCGAGTTTTGAGCTATGCTTGTACGTATCCCGGAGGTGGGGTATGTTAGATATACGGATACTTGGTGACGTCACGTGTCGTCTTAGAGGATCGGGACGTGAAATTGGAAATCTGGTAATCATTTGGGCAAACGATGGCGATGTAAGACTAAAATGGGTTCGGTTATGTGTTCATTCAATAATTCCAATAATATTTTTCTTCTAACACTGTTAACTTACTGTAGTGCTTAAAAGATTGTTAAGCATATAGCTTTCAGTGATCTCTGGTCCCTATATATGCACTTTATTTGTATATTAGTTTCACTTAATTGAAGGTTTTGAAAAACTTCATTTAATAAATCCAAAATGTGTATTTCTTTAGAGGCCGTTTGATAACCATTTGGTTTTTAGTTTTAAGATTGAAGTGTTATTTCATTTTTAACGCTTTTAATTGATTCATGTTTATGTTTGGATCAGGAAAGAAACGTTGCTGACTGTGTACCTGTGACGATGCAACATTGATACGCTTCTGTGTCAATTTGGCTTCAGTTATTTGGTAAGAGAACTTACTTTAATCGCCGTGCTGACATTCGTGTCCTTATTTTGTGTGTGTGTGTGTGTGTGTGTGTATGGTCAGAAGAAGCTTTTCTGTTTTTGGATGGTTGTACTTTGTATGCAAGTGAGATTTTGGATTCACTCAAACCGAGTATTGAGTTAGGTGAGTTTTACGATTTTCTTACATTTTTCTTTGTTGGATTTTTGTACTTTGTATGCAAGTGAGATTTTGGATTTACTCAAAGCAGGCATGGAGTTAGTTTAGGTTATACGTGGTGATGTGCTCCTAAAGAGAGAGAGAGAGAGAGAGAGAGAGAGAGAGAAGAGAAGGATAATATATCTCCATATGGTATAACATATGTTTAAGATAGGAAAAAATTGGTGCCGGGCTTTGCTGGTTGGTGAAAAAATATAATTTTGGAGATGTCAGCAGGTGCTTGCAGTGTGGTTTAGTTCAGGGGAGATCTGAGGGTTGAAGATAACCTAGCTTTGGCAGCTGCAGTGAAAGCAAGAGGTTTGCCTCCATTGGATCTACTGCCTCCGTTAACAAAAACTCACAATCTGTTTAGATGTGGGGTTTCAAACCAACCGTGGTTTCGAAAAAAATGTCAATCTTTATTATTCATAGGGTGTTATCAATCTTTATAAATAGTGTGTTTCAAACTAAAAAAAAAAAAAGTCGAAATGTTTGTTATTACTGTATGTGATTTATAATATTTGTCTCTGCCGTATATTTTTCTTTCTTTTTTGTTCAGTGAAAAATGACATAGCCTTGGTTTATATATGCTTCATGTATAGCCATGTTAGGGTTTCTTTGGTTAATTTGAAGTTTTTCATATTAAATGTAAAGCTTAAACTTTGTGATTTCTTGAAATAGATGAGAGCATATTTTGCACCGCACATTCTCACTAAACCAGTGTACATGAGCTGCAGAGGGTTGTTGTTAAAATACAAAAAGAAAGGTGAGTCATGGTATCAAGTGGTATGAAATTAAAATATTAATATCTTTGTTAGTATTTTCTGATGTTATTACAACAGTATCGATATTATCTGGCAGTTTTCTTTTGTTTGAATTTCTTTTTTGTGGTTTTGGATTTACAAATGGTTTTTCTATTCAAATTTTCTGTATGTGATTTTGGGGGTTGGATTTGTAGCCTCCGATTGTGTATGCAGGTGTTTAATTTTGTTTTGTTTTTAGTTGCAGGAGACTTTTGTTTTTTTTTTTTGTGCTTTTGGGGGCTTTTGTTTGCAATTTTGGAACCGCTCTCTGCTCAGGCCTATGATAGCACTGGTGAGCTTCCCTTTCAAAAAATAAAAATCACTTTGGTAAATAGGATTTATGAAATGCTTAATTTGGGTTTGGGGTTGCTTTTTTCTCATGATAAAAATTGGTGTGTGCCATCTGGAACTGTTATTGGGCATTTTGAGGTTTGTTGCAGTAAAGGGTTTAAGGTTATTGGCGATGTGATATCGTGTTAGGGTTTTTGAAAGTTGGCTTATTTTGGAATTAATGATTTTATGCGTCATTAAGTTGGTAAAGAAGGCTTTCAAATCAATTTTTTTTTCACAGTTCAAACTATTGATTAGTTGATAGAGAGCAAGGTTTTCATTCTATTTGTAAAATTTAGTCAAAAGCTTTTTTAACAACTATGATATAGTTTGATTTCAATTCATAATTTACTTATTTTGTTAAATTTAAGCTTGAATCTATTAGTAAATCTTTATACTTTATGTTCAAATACATATATAATCCTGTATGTATAGTTTTTGTAATGTTGTTAAGCATTATCAGTGTGTTCTTTTTGTGCGTAGAGGGTGAAAAGCGTGCTGTTTACAGAGGCAAAACAAGAGACATCTTCTACTTCATATGGGAAGAAGAGGTTAGTTTGATTGTGATTGCTTTTATGATTTGGTTAAGTTCGAAGTTAGTTGGCTTACGTCTAATTAGTCGTTTGCATTGTTTGCACATGTAGTTGTTTTGTAACTTAGTTGATTTGGGTTTGTGCAGTTTTTTTTCTCCATAGTATGCATATTCACTGTTATTCACCAGATATTTAACAATATTTTTTTCTTGCATTTTTTCCCACGCTGAATTGTGAAACGACAAGCAATATAAACATATGAATTTTGTTTCTTCATTGTTAATCTGTTGAGTCTAGGGATAATTTGAGCTTTTACATTCTTTTGAACATTTTTCATATTTGACTTGCAGGATCACTGTCACTGTACACCTTTCTGCAACTGTTTCTTCTTTCTATCTCCCTTCCTCTGTGTAATTTTAGTCAAATTGAACTACTTTTTTTAACTTCATATTTAACTAAAGTGCTCAGAACTTAGTTAAATGAAATTTTACTTTGGTTTGATGACATTTAGGTTGTTCGGTGTTGAGTTCATGATTATTAGGTCCACAATCATTGCATACATGATCTTTTATATGTTTTAACCAGAATATGTCATAAAATTTTCAATTCCGCAACAATATGCAGATCACATTTCCACAGCAACACACGGGTCATACTTTCTATTTAGTTACTAATTAAGAGCTCTGCATATTGTTGGTAATTTGTAATATATGCATACAGAAAGAGAAGGTATGTTAATAAACTAGTATATGTATAAAGAACTTATGACCTATTCTTCTAATCATGTATTAGAAAGAATTTTGAAAATCGATTGTATTTTCCTTTGAATCATGTATTGGAAAGAATTTTAAAAATTGATTGTATTTTCTTGTGTATATCTCTCTCGTTACGAGATCTAGTCAACGCGATAGCTAAATCTCATTTTTTTTTTCAAGGACAAACATGTCAATGTAATCGTGGGGAACTGAGTTTCTTGTTATATGTGCTTGGATTGTATGAATGTATGTATTTCCCAGTCATGTGAAAAATCTAGCAGACAGTTTCTCAAATGGATGTTTAGTCAAAACCAACAGAAAGAGAAATGGGATTGCTAAAAGAGCAGTGCTATTCACAAATTTTTTTTTTTTTTTTTTTACACATTTTTGTTAATTTTTGTTCATTAATCTTTTTCAATTCATTTGATTCGATAGTTGAAAATTGAGATTTGTGTGTGAAAGGTAAAAAATGAATATGTAGATAGCACCACTGTACTAAAATGTTTTAAGCCAGAAAATGCCATATTCAATTCTTTTTTTAGTTCTTTGGACTTAAAAATAATTTTGGTGTGACATTGCTGTTGCATTCTTTAAATTTTTTTTGGTTAAATCTATTAAACATTTCTGATACATGTAGCATGCCTCTGTGGATGCTCTGCAGAGGAAAACTGGGAACATCTTTGTTGCTAAATTTAATATTGATGTTAACATGAAGGTAATCAATTAAATAGAGTGGTTTTTTTTGGAACTCAATTTTTTGTTGACAATTTTAAACCCTAACCCATACTATGATTATTTTATTATTTGCTCCTTAATAAACTATGAAGACTCATTTGTCAACATGCAATATGCATTGTAGGATTATTTAGGCCGTCAGCTATGATGATTTCATCTAAAATATTTTTATGTACTACGTATACATTAATGCATAGTAGAAAAACTCGACCTGAGGCACCTTGGTTTTTTAGAAAGACTTGTATAAAATAGGGACACCAAAGTAGTGGTGTCAGACACAAACCTGTCACTCATCGTCATGTTTTTTTAACTCTCTTATGTCATGTATAATTAGTTTGAAACACTTATCATTTTGTCATTCTCGTTTCATGCTAATCTTTCTCCTAGTTTTGGCAATTTAGCAACCGTCATGCAAAACCTTCCAACAAAAACCAAGTCCCCAGAAAATCCTTAACCCTAGAGAATGAGACCATCTATTGTTTGGGAAATTCTCCTTAATAACAACAATTGACAGAGGAAAGATAAAAGGATGACGTGCTACTAACTTTAATGCACCGCACAGTGCAGACAAATGTCGCCCACAGTGCTTTTGGGTGAAAGTAAGGCTCAAACAGTTATTGAGAATCTGGTTCATGGGAAAGGCAGCTTATTACAAAAGCTAGGTAGCTACTAGTCTCCACAAAGTCGCTAGGCTAGCTTTCCCGTGCCCTAAACCACTAGAGAAGTTTGAGTCACTTTCACAAAGAAAAGGTTTCAATGATAATTTGGTTTCCTTTCTTTGTTTTTTTTTGTTTAGGGTAAATTACACATAACTACCTCAACTATTAGTCATGAACAGTTTCATACCTCGTATTTAAAAAGTTTCAATGTCATACCTCATCTACGAATTTATTACAATTTCATACATTTCGTCAGTTGTTTCTTAATTCCTCTGTTAAATGCTGATGTGGCTTGTGACGTAACACACTTTCTATTAAAAAAACTAAAAAAATATTATTAAAAACTAAAAAAAAAAAATCATTTAATATTTTTTAAATATTAAAAAAAAAAAGAAAAAAACCCACTCATGTTCGTCTTCCCCCCTCCACCCCTTGTCCCCCCACCCCCTAGAAAGAAAGAAGAAGAAGAAGAAGAAGAAGAAACCCATCTTCATCTTCCCCGACCCCCTTCCCTGCAACCCACCCCTTTCTTCCCCCTCCCATCTTCCCCTTCCCACCTCCCGGCACCCACCCTCTTCCCTCCTCTACACACCCCACTCCTCAAATCCACACCCATTCTCCCCCCTCCCCCCCCCCCCCCAATTTTCTCCATGCCCAATTTCTCCACCCGCGGAATCAGCAGAAGATGGGATCTGGGTTGCAGGGAAAAGGGGATTGGGGAAGATGAAGATGGTTTTTTTTTTTATTTATGGGTTGTAGGTACTGGGTGTGAGGGTGGGTGCGGAGGAGGAGGGAAGGGGAAGACGGGAGGAGGAAGAAATGGGTGGGTTGCAGGGAAGGGGGGGGGTCGGGGAAGATGAAGATGGGTTTTCTTTTTTTTTCTTCTTCTTCTTCTTCTTTCTTTCTGGGTTGCAGGGGGCGCCGGGGGAAGACGAACATGGGGTGGGTTTTTTTTTTTTTTTTCTTCTTCTTCTTCTTTCTTTCTAGGTTGCAGGGGGTGGGGGAAGAAAGGGGTTGGGGGTGGGGGGGGGGGGGGAGGAAGACGAACATATGGTGGGTTTTTTTTTTTTTTTAATAACTTTTCTTTAATTAATTATTATTTTAATAATTACAAAATATTTAAAGATTTTTTTTTAGTTTTTAATAATATTTTATTAATTTTTTAATAGAAAGTGTGTCACGTCACAAGCCACTTCAGCATTTAATGAAGGAATTGACAGACAACTGACAAAAGGTTTGACATTGCAACAAATTCGAAGATATGGTATGACATTGAAACTTTTTAAAGATGAGGTATGAAACTTTTAATGACCCAATAGTTGAGGTAGTTTTGTGTAATTTACCCTTTTTATTTTTTAACTAATTGTGCTTAAAGAGAAGTTTTAAAATTTTGAAAACTAATGAAAAATAATTGAAAACTTTGAGTTTTAACCATAATGACAAAATAAAGAGTAAAGTGAATAGTATCATAATTGATTTTTTAGTGTCAAAATGTGATTTTTCGTTAAAATGAACAATACCGAAGCTTTTCGTTAAAATTTCCTTTAAATTTTTGTTAAACTAGCAAGTGAATAATTAAAAAACTATTTTAGTTACTCAGTTTAACTTTTCATCTCTATCAACGTACTTTTTTAACAAACTTTAAGATATTTTAATATTAACAATTCAAACTCAACTCACTCATTTTTTAAATTACTTTTTCTCTTTCTTTTCACCTTGCTCGAGGGTCCACTATTGAGTTTTATTTTTTTTTTATATTTAGTGAGTAAATAGTTGTACTTTAAATTTAAAGAGTGACTGTTCATTTTGCTATAATAGAAACTCTTTTACACCATCTCTTGGAGATGAATTTTTTGAGTTTGGCTCTTTAAAATAAAGTTTGGGTTTGTTTTACAGCATCTCTTGGAGATGCTTCCAAATGTTTTCAATTGTCTTCTTTGAATATAATGTTTTTTTTTTTTTTTTGTTTTTGTTAAAGAACAGGTTGTTGACATTCTGAATCAATAGTACACGTGTAAGTTTTTCACATGTCCTATTATTTACACAAAATGCTACAATGATGGTAAATCCGTGTCAGGTAGGTGGCACATGTTGACAAGGGTCGATAACATTGGTGCATAACATTTCAATTGTAAAACCTTTTAATGTGTTATTACATTATTGGCACAAAATTTGTCATTGAGCAAAAGATTAGACGTTCTACTTAGAGAATTTCCAAAAAAATCTAAATAGTGATATATAAGCATTTTAATAAAAAAAATAAAATACAATGTGAATTATGGCCATTAGTCAACATATTGTGTCACGTCATCCTACATTAAAATTTGAATTCTTGTGTCATAAATTAGAGTAGTTTAAAAATAAAAAATAAATAAAAGTTCTAAAAATCTCTGCCCAACGTTGCCTAGATCTCACTTAGGTGCTAGGTAGCTGGCGACCGTCCCGATTAATCCCCAAAAGTTTGAAAATTAAGAAATGACATCTAGACCTATCTAAGGGCCCGCGTAGCCCGCCTAAGTCACGAATCTCACTTAGACAGAAAATAAATAACTTTTATTTTGCATTTTGTTTTTTAATATATTGTAAGAAACTTGTTGAATACTTGGATAAGCACTCATTATATGCTTGTTTCCTATGTTTTCAATGTGTTCTAATACTTTATAATTTATATGTTATTATATTTTACAATATATGTATCACAATACAATTATTTATTTTATATGTAAGTAGATATTTATTTTTATATTATATAATCTAATCAAAAAAAAATTCACGCCTAAGCACTAGTATCCAGCCAGAACAGCGTCAAGTGCTTTTTGCAACTTTATTTCTCAGACTCACTGGACACTTGCACTCAATAAAACAATAATGTATCATCCAAAAAGTAACAACGAGAATCAAACAAAGGATTGTGGAAATCAATCACAACTACAAAACTTCTCAAGTACCATAAAAGTTGGGGAACCAGAGAGAGTTGGCTTAAACTTTATGATTTGAACGGTTAAATCCGCAAGTGAATGAAAACCCCAAGAACGAGGTCTCCGCTCTAACACTGCTGAAAAACGTGCAAAAAGCAGATGCCTGTACATCAATCACACTGCATACTGCATATTTATTGGACCCCGAAAATTCAAAAGAGAGATTAACAGAGAAAACCCATCTCAAATTCTCAAAATCTCAATCATATAATGCAATCAAATTATTCATGTGTGCGTCTCTCATAGGATTATTGGATGAACCTTGGTGAGATCTCTTGACCCCCACAAACTGCATTCTTGAACTCAACAGCTGCTGGGACTGTTTGCAATGAGCAATTGCCCCCTCGATTGAGCTCTCAAGCTCTGAATTTGCACTCGTACTTCGCTTCAGCAGCTGCAAATCTGAGAACCCACTTGAGCTGAAGGAGAAAGAAGACGAGGAAGACGAAGAAACGGAGGAAGATGTAGGTGAACACAGAGATTGCAGGGCAGTTGAATGTTGAATTGCCCCACAGAAGGATTTTCTGTGGGTGTTTGAGTTTTCCTCGGCCATTTCTTTCCCAATCCTTTTCATGAGAGTGGCTGATGATATTTGGAATCTGCCACCGTCGACTCTTCCAAATGGGGTTTTCTCAGCCACTTTCATGTACTTGTTGGAGCAAAAGTCTCTGACTTTTGAGCCACTTTCTGCTTCTGCTTCGGCACATGAGTTGTAGTCATCCGCACAGGTGGTTTTTCTGAACAGGGACTTCACATATGCCCTTGAAGCCTTGAGCTTTTGACCCAATGAGGACTGCTTGATCTGCTTCAGCTTTGTAGACCAAGATTTCTTTTGATGATCATTGTGCCCACCAATGAAATTCACACACATGTCAGCCGTCCATTCGGAGAGGTACTCATCTGAGTTGAGTTCACTGCTGACCCTGCAGGACTCTGAGGGGGCGATATTGTAGGACTGGTCCAATGGGATACTGGAGCTTTCCGTTTTGCTGAAGCTTTCGTCAATGGCTTCCTGTGTTTTGTTGTTGGAGGTTTGGAGGATCTTTTGGACCATTTGCAGGCGAGGTGGGAGGTGGAGCGGGAGGAGCTTACCTTTGTAGAAGAGGTCATCTGCTGGGGAATTTGTGGTTTCTTTGTCTTGACAAAGTGAGGACATCTGGAACTCAAACTCTCTGGTTTGTGGTGGAGAGCTGATGGAATAGCATAAGAAGCTGGAGGAAGAGCTCACTTCCATGTCTATGTAGTCTTCATCTGAACTATGATCACCTGGAGCTTGGCTTCTGGCCATCGCATCTGACACTTTTCTCTCTCTCTGTCTAGTTTCTCTCTCTCTAGATAGTAGATTCTCTGTGTGTGAAGTTGCTTAAGCTTAATTATGGGGAGGAGAGCTTGGCGTAGGAAGTGGCAGAGCACTTTTTAAAACAAAGAAAAACTAATCAAAAAGTTTAGAAACTTTTAATTTTAACGATAAAAACAAATTAAATGATAAAGTAAATAGTACCAGAATTAATTTTTTAGTATAAAAATATAATTTTTCGTTAAAATAAATAATATCAAAACCTTTTCGTTAACGTTCATTTAAAATAAAAACGTTGAAAAGTTTGAATAATGCATAAATAATTGTAATAAATATCAAATTCGATTTCCTTTTTCTTTGCATGTCTATCTTGAAATGCTTCCAATAACAAGAATGCATAAGGGAAAAACTTAAGAAAAACTAGCGAAAAGTCTAAAAAAATTTAGTTTTAATAAAAAAAAAATGGTAAATAAAAATGTAGTGAATAGTACTAGAAAAAAGTAAAAATATGATTTTTCATTAAATATGAATAGTATCAGAAATATTTCGTTAAAACTCCTAAAAACTTAAATACCTTTTTTCCTAGCTCGAGTAGCCACACAAACTAACCAATATGTATTATTGTTCGTATATCTAGGGCTACAGAACATCTAACTGTAGGTTATATGGGCTCGAGTTTGTAGTTTCAATAGATTCTAATCACAATTTTATGAGTGTCTCGTGTGTGTGCACACATTATGCTTAATGTTAATACAGAATGAATAGAAAATTAGACTATTGGTTCTTGAACTTTAGTTGAATTAAAACTTTGGTTTATGAACTAAACATCTATGAGCGTTGATTTCTAAAATTGTCACATCGTGGAGCAATGGTATTTTTGGTAACTCCACTAGATTTTTGTCCAAAGTTGTCTAAACAAAAGGGTTTAAGGGAAAAAAAAATTATAACGGAGTTATCTGAAGAAAAAAAAAAAACTAAATCGGTACTTGAAACATTGTGTCTAATATTATTTTTTTATGTATTATAATATAGGTGCACGGTTGATTTCCAAAAAAATATATAGATGCACGCCGAGTTTATACTTTACGGTACAATTTTAATAGATAAAACATGCATGGAAGTTATACCAAGTAGTGGTTTTTCTATGTAATACAATAAGTTTCAAATGCCTATTTGTTTTGAAAGGATAGAGTTCTTTTAGGAGTGCAACTTTGCTCACCCGTCTAAAGTGGGGCTGATGCTCACATCCCAGATTATTTGCCTTTAGATTAATTTGGTTTAATTAATTTAAAGTACGAATTTCAATTTAAACTAATTTAACTGTAATTAATGAGAGTGAGCAAAAAATGACACTGAAATTTATATAAAAAATACAATCCCGAACATGCCCAAGAGCCCCTTTAGAACCAATTTTGTAAGAAACGGTTTTCTGTCAAACAGTGTCAATAACTTATTTTGTCGTCTTTTTTTGTCTTTTCATTTTGGTGCAGTATTGGATGTATGAAAAGACTTTTAGGACTTGTTTGAGATTGCTTCTCGAACGGCTAAATGCTTTTTAACAATTAAAAACACTTCTAAGTGCATTTTACAACGAAAATTAAAAGTGATTCTAGATTAAAGAAGTGCTAAACACTTTCAAACATGCACTAAATAGCTTGTTTATAATGCGCTCCAAGACTTGCAATCAAGACATATATAATGCAATGACTGTAGAGCGTGATTGGTGGATGACAATGCTTATACAAACAAAACCCCATGACTGTACGTTTTCTTGGTCTACATCCACTCCACCCTTGAAAATACCTTGAATTTGGATCTTCAAACGTTTTCTTAGACTAATTTCCCACCACCATAAGTAGTACAAGATGAAGATGTTGACAGATCAGAACACAAGAAAGCCTCCTGCTTTTATTGAGATTTCATTTGGCAGTTTCAACGAAAAGAATATCCCCCCATCTTTTGAAACAGTGTTAAGAAAATGAAAGGAGAAATAGATTTTTTCGAAAGTGAAATTCTCTATAAACTCTAATTCACGTTATGTATTTAATACAATTCTCATGCTAATATTGTAAAATATTATGTCAAAAATATGAGACGGTAGATAATTCTACGTTTGAGAAAATCTTCTCACTATTTCTCAAATGAAAATACAAGCTCTAATGCCAAAATCTAATCTCTAACAAATAACTATTAGCATGAGATATTGATATCCGAGAAAGTCAACAAACATTATTTTTTAGGTGGGATTTCACTGGCCCAACAGGGTTAACAAACCTAGTTTTCAAATTTGGGGACCCTCATTTCACTCTCTCAATCTATAGACTCTTCAAACGTTATTTTTACTTTACTATTAAAATCTCTCTCTCTCTCTCTCTCTTGAATTAATAAAATATTTGAATTTATTTTTTTAGTGAAATAAAATTAAAATTTGTAAAATCTGTTGAAACTTGAAAGTAGTTTTAAAATTACCTTTTTAGTAAGAAATATGTATTTAAAGAGTCATATTTATATATTATGTTGAAGATGCTCTAACTCTTAAGTTTATGCTTTCTTTTTCTCATATTAAGTGTGCTTCCTTTTTTTATACATGTTTATGTTCTATGACAATGACCATGTGGAATATGAGATCTAAGGAAAATAATAATTTTTTAAAACATTAATTTGATTTAGTTTGCTAACTATTGTTTTTCTTCCTTTTTTTTTTTAATTGAGAAACATGCTTTGGTTTGGATTTTAAGGAACAAACTTGTTTCATAAATAATGCATCTCATGTTTATATGCCAATTAATTATGTTATTTTTCTGCAACAACCACTAACACCTCTGCAAAACCTATATTTGAATTTGAAAACAAGTTTTTCATTAATTTTATTCGTTTTATTTGTGTCTGGACAAACCCAGTTTTTCATTAATAATTTATACGTGCATATCGTTATCTGACCTAGTCAAAATGTTGGAGATTTTAACCTCGTCGTCATCTTTGTAAGTATCAACTAACACGTAATTAAGTGAAAATTTTGATGAACAAAACTTCTTCAAACACGTCTTTGCATGGAGCCAGATTCTCGTATCTTCTTTATTTGGTCTTGACCTCTCTACTTTTTAGCATTACAATATTTTCTGAGTTGATAATAATAGTTATTTTCAAAACACGGCGTTCATCTAGCTGAGAAAATTATAATTTTTTTTCCTAAATTTTCTTTATCTTTGATCTTATTTACGTCACAAATAACCGTTTATGGTGTATAATCACTGCTAAGACTTGAATTGAGGTTTGTAGCCTTGAATGGTTTAATCGCTTATTAGATAATAATAAGCAACATTTTTCATACAACGTAAGATGTAGGTAAATGGATTTCTTATGAGCACATATACAAAGTTTCTTATTTTTCCGACGTGAGATTAATACTCTCAGCTCCTCCTAGATTTTAAGTTTTTGAATTTGGGTTACGTTAGAAACAATAAATCATCTTGAGGAATTTGTGTTGATTAAATCACACATGTATTAGTTTTGATGTTTTCGCCTGACACACATGCAATGGGAGAGTCGAATCTAACCTCCCATAACCTTCCCCTGACGGGGTTCCGCATGCCATGGCCATTGAAAGGTACGGAAAGGTGAAGGCTCCCTGCCAGCCAGTAATGGTAGCCACCAGGTGCCTACACCAGAGACAGACCATATTATCTCACTAACACTTGATTAAGAGGTCACGTGACGCTTGATTACTGCTCCTGAGCACATGATTAATCACATTTGTAGCTAATGTGATTGCAAGACTTTGCAACTCCATAGTAACTGCTTTATATAGCCTTCTCCGGCTCCTTGTAATGACAAAACGGGTGGACTTGCTCTTATAATTTCGATGCGTTGTGATGTATTTTTTTCCATTTCAAGTCGAGGCCAAAGCTCAATGTTGTGCGGAAGCTTCAACAAGTGTGAGTGAAAAATAATAAACCCTAGAAACTGATAACAGATAAATGGAACAATACCAACAAGAACACCAAGATTTATACTGGTTCGGCAATGCCTACATCCAGTTTGGAGACGACGGAGTATTTCACTATAATCAATGAGAACATACAATAGTGTTTATCACTCAATTTCTCAAAGACTCGAATAACCCAAGCTCACACATTTACAATAGGAAGAGAAAACCAAAAAAAATACAAAGCAAGACAATTTGAGAAAATTCTTCTCTATGCCGAATGGCTTCTTGCTATTTTCCTTTCTTCCTTGTTATATTTGAGTTATGCCTACACCTCCTTTTATAGGCCAAGGCCTCTCATCAAGTAATAAAGAATTAGGCATAAGTGCATCTCCCACCTGTAAGTGCATCCAATTTTTATTTCCCACCTGTAAGTGCATCCATTTTTTATTTCCCACATGTAGCATGCCAGCCATAAAAGCAGCCGAAAGTAGCCGACATCATTTGTTGGTTTTAGACTACTTTGTTTGAGCCAATAATCAACAATCTCCACCTTGGCGCAAACCCTCTAATTAGAACTCCCAATAGTCGTCTCCCACTCCCCCATGGGGCAATCAACAAATTTTACAAATGCCAATCAAGTCTAAGCAGTGCTTAAACTTGAGCAACGAAACTGGCTTTGTTAACATATCCGCAGGATTGTCAGCGGTCTCAATCTTCTGAAGAAGAATATCTCCCTCGTCAATAATCTCACGAACAAAATGGAACCTCACGTCAATGTGTTTCGTACGTGCATGATGAACTTGATTCTTTGCTAAATGAATAGCACTCTGACTGTCGCAATGAACATCCACATGGTCTTGTTGAACCCCTAAGTCATCAACCAACCCTTGAAGCCAGATGGCTTCCTTTATAGCTTCTGTTACAACCATGTATTCTGCCTCAGTAGTTGACAGAGCAATTGTAGATTGCAGAGTCGACCTCCAACTTACTGGACCTCCAACAATAGTGAATACAAAACCTGTAGTGGATCTACGCTTGTCCAAATCACCTGCGTAATCAGAATCCACATATCCAACAACACATTGACCAGTAATTTTATCCTGCTGGAACAATAAACCAACATCCACAGTACCCAGAATACACCGTAGAATCCATTTCACAGCTTCCTAATGCCCTTTTCCTGGATTATGCATATATCTACTAACAATACTAACCGTTTGTGAAATATCAGGCCTAGTACACACCATAGCATACATCAAACTACCAACAACATTTGCATAAGGAATTTGAGCCATGTACTGACTCTCTTCAACAGTTTTAGGAGACATAGAAGCACTAAGTTTGAAATGAGGGGCAAGAGGTGTACTAACCGGTTTTGAATTTTCATTCATCCTGAAACGTTGTAGTACCTTCTTCAAATACTGCTTCTGACACAAACTAATCTTGCCCTTCGGTCTATCTCTTTCAATTTCCATACCTAGTATCTTCCGAGCTTCTCCCAAGTCCTTCATCTCAAATTCATTTCTCAGTTGAGTCTTCAACCTTTCAATCTCCACTTTGCTCTTACATGCTATAAGCATATCATCAACATATAAAAGCAGATAAATGAAGGTTCCATCTTGTAGTTTGCGAAAGTATACACAATGATCATAGTGACTTCTTGTGTACTTTTGCCCGATCATAAATCGATCAAATCGCTTGTACCATTGTCTTGGAGACTGCTTCAAGCCATACAATGATTTTTCCAATTTGCAAACCCAATTTTCCTTTCCAGCAACCTTAAAACCTTCTGGCTGAGACATAAAAATCTCTTCCTCCAAATCACCATGTAAGAACGCAGTCTTGACATCAAGTTGGGCCAACTCAAGATCAAACTGCACAACCAAAGCCAACAGAATACGAATAGAAGAATGTTTTACTACAGGAGAAAATACCTCATTATAGTCAATGCCTTCTTTCTGAGCATAGCCTTTAGCTACCAATCTGGCTTTGAATCTTACATTGTCTTTTCCCAAAGATTCCATCTTTTTGGCATACACCCATTTACAACCAATTTCTTTCTTCCCCTTTGGTAACTGAACCAGCTTCCAAGTCTTATTTTTATGAACCCATAGATTTCTTCCACAACTCGTACTCTGAACTCATGACAGCTTCTTTGTAGGTGGATGAAATATCATCTTCAATAACGGGAAGTGCATATGCCACAATATCAGTAAATCGAACAGGCTTTCGAATTTCCCTTCTCGATCTTCTGGTTGCAATATAGTCTTGTTGCTGTGGAGGCTCTTGTGTAAGTGCCTCTACTTCATCATCCACGTCTTCATCATCAGAATTAACTGTAGGGCTAGGGTTTGTAACATCGGACTTTACTGGGACAACTGGAGTCTTCAGTAACTCCACCTGCTTTATGTTGCTCATGATCTTGGTTGCTTTAGTTTCACCTTCATGCTTGTTCTGATTAACCATAGCAGCCTCATCAAAGGTCACATCTCTGCTTACAACAAATTTCTTCTCATCTGGACACCAGAGTCGGTATCCCTTCACGCCAGTGCTAAAGCCCATAAATAGAGCTTTCTTTGCTCTTGGATCCAACTTGCTTTCTCTGACATGATAGTAAGCAGGACAACCAAATATGTGTAAGAACTTGTAATCAGTACAAGGTTTATTAGACCATACCTCCATGGGCGTTTTGCCCTCGTTTACAGCAGTTGGCAATCGATTAATGATATGGCTTGCATAAGTGATTGCCTCAGCCCAAAATGCCTTGCTTAAACCAGCATTAGATAACATGCACCAGACTTTCTCAAGCAACGTACGGTTCATGCGCTCCGCCACTCCATTTTGTTGTGGTGTCTCCTTAACCGTAAAGTGCCTCACGATACCCTCATCTTGACAGACTTTCAAGAAATGATCAGACTTATATTCACCCCCATTGTCTGATCTGAGAGTCTTGATTTTTCGATTGCTTTGAGTTTCAATCATCTTTTTCCACTTCAGGAATATTTTCAAGACTTCATCTTTACGCTTCATGGTGTACACCCATATTCTTCTAGAGAAGTCATCAACAAAGGAGACAAAATAATGGCTACCTCCCCAAGATGCATTCTTGGAAGGTCCCCAAACATCAGTGTGAACATAATCAAGAATGTTTTTAGTGTGGTGAATAGCAGTGCCAAATTTTACCCTAGTTTGCTTACCAAACACACAATGCTCACAGAATTCCAATTTGCATGCCTTTGCACCTTTCAACAAGCCTTGCTTCACCAATCCTTGCAACGCTTTTTCACCAGCATGCCCTAGACGCATATGCCATAACCTTGTGGTGTCTGTGCTATCGTCAATAGCTTCGGTTATGGCTACTCCACCAATAATTGTACTTCCCTGCAAGAAATACAAGTTATTTCGTCTTATACCTTTCATCACCACCAGTGCCCCGTACACAGCTTTAAGAACTCCACTCTTCATGGTGATCTTAAGACCCTTGGATTCCAAAGCTCCCAGAGAGATAAGGTTTTTCTTCATATCCGGTATATACCGAACATCACTTAATTCTCTAACTGTTCCATCATGCATCTTCAAACAGATTTTGCCTATCCCTTGTGTTTTGCAGGAATTATCATTACCCATCAAAACAACTCCACCATCCAGCTCCTCGAAGCTAGAAAACCATTCTCGAATGGGACATATATGATAAGTGCAACCTGAATCCAAAATCCACTCCTTGGAGTGACCATTAGTAGATGAACTAGCCAAAGCAAACTCGAGATCATTATCTCCTTGGTTTACAATATTTGCTTCAGGGCCTGCTTTCTCCTTCTCTTTGTTCTTCAATTTAGGGCAATCTCTCTTCCAATGACCCTTTTGGCGGCAAAAGGCACATTCATCTTTAGCAGGAAACTTCCCTTGTGACTTTGAACGAGATTTTCCCCGTTTCACATATTTTGTTTCCACTGTTCGACCCCTTGCAACAAGTGCCTCGGTTTGTGAATTATGAGTCTTTAGTTCCTTCTTACGACACTCATGATTCACCAATGCTGCAGACACCTCATCAAGTTTCACCTCGGTTTTTCCATACAACAAAGTAGTTGTCAAATGATCATAATCACCAGGCAATGAATTTAACAAACATAATGCCTTGTCCTCGTCAGGAATTTTCACATCAAGGTTTGCTAAATCAGCAAGTATTTTATTATAATCATTGAGGTGTTCATGCATAGAAATACCTGGACTATACTGAAAACGGAAAAGTCGTTTCTTCAGGAAGAGGCGATTTTCTGCGCTCTTGGTCATATACTTTTCCTCCAATTTTGTCCATAACTCCTTGGCAGAAGTTTCCTTCATATACGGGTATTTCAACTCCTTGTCAAGAAATGATCGAATAGCAGCACAAGCATGAAGATTAATTCACGTCCACTGCTTGTCCTCAATATCTTCTGGTTTCTCTTCCAGAACCATATCCAACTCTTGTTGATACAAGACATCCATAACTTCACATTGCCACATACCAAAATTATTAGAGCCATTGAATTTATCAACCTCTAACCTTGTAGTAACAATTTGGTGTCTGTTGGATATAGGTGCCGACTCCTTCTTCTTCACAGGTTCACCTTCATCTCCAGCCATTTTCTAGCCATTGAATTTATCAACCTCTAACCTTGAAGTAGCAATTTGGTGTCTGTTGGATGTAGGTGCCGACTCCTTCTTCTTCACAGGTTCACCTTCATCTCCAGCCATTTTCTTCGGCACTATTCACGGGAATGCAGCGCCAAGAAATTTTCCCTTTTTTTTTTTTCTTCACTCCCACGAAAAAAACAAAGCCCTAGTCGAAAAACTGGGCTCTGATACCACTTGTTGTGCGGAAGCTTCAACAAGTGTGAGTGAAAAATAATAAACCCTAAAAACTGATAACAGATAAATGGAACAATACCAACAAGAACACCAAGATTTATACTAGTTCGGCAATGCCTACATCCAGTTTGGAGACGACGGAGTATTTCACTATAATCAATGAGAACATACAATAGTGTTTATCACTCAATTTCCCAAAGACCCGAATAACCCAAGCTCACACACTTACAATAGGAAGAGAAAACCAAAAAAAATACAAAGCAAGACAATTTGAGAAAATTCTTCTCTATGCCGAATGGCTTCTTGCTATTTTCCTTTCTTCCTTGTTATATTTGAGTTATGCCTACACCTCCTTTTATAGGCCAAGGCCTCTCATCAAGTAATAAAGAATTAGGCATAAGTGCATCTCCCACCTGTAAGTGCATCCAATTTTTATTTCCCACCTGTAAGTGCATCCATTTTTTATTTCCCACATGTAGCATGCCAACCATAAAAGTAGCCGAAAGTAGCCGACATCATTTGTTGGTTTTAGACTACTTTGTTTGAGCCAATAATCAACACTCAAGTTGTATCACATACTTTGGGTGCTGAAGAGTAGGTTTAACTCCAATAAGCGAGGACTTGGTGTAAGTTCCTTCTAATTTGCAAAAGGGTGTATTGTACAATTTTCAATTTTTCGGAATAGTTGACACTACGTTTTAGAAATTTGTTGTTTTATCGTAATCGCATGCCAGACACATGATCAGTTATTGTGAAATACATATACGTGCCCGTCAAAACTGTTGTCTTTGAAAAGGTGAAAATCAGTTTCTAAACTACATCCACACTGTTGAAAGCACAATATTGGAATAATTTTACAGTTACAGTATCTACACGAGAATATAGTCCACTTTCTTCAAGGTATTATCTACATCTTCAAATGGATCAGAGAATTTACACAGCATCAATAGACCTAAGCAACTCCAGTGTTTGTCAACTTTTGTTTTACAACCTATAAGGAGTGTCGACTGTAGGTACATAGCGTTACATCTTGCGTCGAAAGAGACCTACTTATTTGCTTCTTCAACAAGATATGTCATAAGCCAGCAATGTTAATAAGATCAATATGCACTCGTAATGCACTATTCCACCATATGAATTTGGCCTACATTTCTTGCCGGTCAGCTAGTTCTTTTCACTTCCTTTTCAAGTTCATCAAACACCATATCGCAAATCTCATCCACTGAGATTTCTTTGACAAACTTCCCAAGTTCTGGCTGTAGTTTCGCCGGTTCTTCCTTTCCTTCATGCTTTTTAAGTTCTGGAGTCTCAGTGGTCATTGGACTGGTCTTCCCAAGATCAGGGTCTAGTTTCGGCAACTCTTCCTGCAGGTCTAGTAGATTTGACCCCTTGATGAAGAAAGAATTGGAAACTTCATCCTGTTTGAGTTCTGGAGTCCCAGTGGTCAACGGGGCAGCCTTACCAAGTTCCGGCCCTTGTTTTGTATTTTCCTTTGGGTCCAATGTCTTCTCCCCCTTAGTCAAGGAAGAATTGGTATCCTGTTTGAGTTCTGGAGTCCTGGTGGGCGATGGGGCAGTCTTACCAAGTTGCGGCCCTAGTTTTGTGTCTTCCTTTATGTCCAGCGTCTTCTCCCCCTTAGTCAAGGAAGCGTTGGTACCCTGTTTGAGCTCTGGAGCCCCGGTGGTCAATGGGGCAGTCTTACCAAGTTCCGGTCCTAGTTTTGTATCTTCCTTAGGGTCCAGTGTCTTCTCCCCCTTAGTCAAGGAAGAATTGGTCTCCTGCTTGAGTTCTGGACTCCCAGTGGTCAATGGGGCAGTTTTACCAAGTTCCGGCCCTAGTTTTGTATCTTCCTTTGGGTCCAGTGCCTTCTCCCCCTTAGTCAAGGAAGAATTGGTATCCTGTTTGAGTTCTGGAGTCCCGGTGGACAATGGGGCAGTCTTACCAAGTTCCTGCCCTAGTTTTGTATCTTCCTTTGGGTCCAGTGTCATCTCTCCCTTAGTCAAGGAAGAATTGGCATCATGTTTGAGTTCTGGAGTCCTGGTTGTCAAAGGAGAGGTAGCGGTAGGAGATGGACTTGTAATGGCCCTATCACTAGAGGGCGTCTCTAGTCTTCGCGGTGAAGCTTCAGTTTCCAATATTGGTCTATCAATGGATTCAAATTCATCATTTAAATTTTTGATGGCATCAAAGAGTTCTTTGACCTTCTCATCATCTCTCCTGATTCAAGAAAACACCGTGTATCCATCGATATCAGAGGAGTGAGGTTACGAGCATAAAAGTGCACCTAATGGCAGATGGGAAAATGACAGCACATTCGACTACCTGAAAATGCCTTCGCTTTGAACAGTAGAACTGCTTTTTCATGGTATCCACTACACTTAAGGTGGTCAGAAACTGGAAAATGGCCAAAGAAGCATAGATTGAGAAATATTTTCCTTATTAACGAAAAACACAGAACAATGAATTCCATTCCATACTGCTTAACAAACAATAATATCAGCAGAAGAAGAGGCGGAAGATTTATGCATACCTTGGCTTCCATGTCCACATAATCCTCTTCAAGATTTTTCCTCGGGTTGCTTTCTTTTGAACTTCCATCGTCTATGCCCAGTATATTTGCTCTGATGTAAATGAATAATCAGAGGCTCGATCTAACGGTGTAAAAACTGCTAAAAGAGACAGAGAATTACCCTTTACTTGAGTTCAAGCACTCCACGAGAGTCCTGATGCGAGTGATTGACGATCCCAAGTTTGCCTAATTGTGATACGAGAATGAAGTGGAAAAAAACACAACGTAATAGATAACAGACGAATACGATGCAGTATTTAAAAACAACCATCAATGAAGAAAAGTATTATTACCTTGTAAGTGGAGAGAAGTTGGATTACCAAATTCACAAAATAGTCTCCATATCTCTCCAGTTCGCCACTTAAACATGAAAGAGCCAAATATCATAATCATTGAATACGACACAACAATGCAAGTACACATTTCATTAAGTATATCGTATCAAGTACTTGTTCCATTTCCAGTTTTAAATATAAATTTATCCGACATAATATGTTGGGAATTTTGGGATCAGATTAATTTGGTGATCAGTGTACATAAGAACTACATACTTGACCTGCTTCTCTTTTTGCTCTGTGTACGAAGACTGCAGAACCCAGGTATCTTCCAAAAAACTAACCCACGTATTTACAACGTCAACTTCTGCTTTACATGAGTCAATAGATTTTGATAGCTCATCTTCCTATCATTAAAGAAAACAAATATAAAAAGATACTCCGTAGCGAGCTATCAAATTTTCATCCAATTTAGAGCAGTAAAAACCATACTTAATGTATGCATTCTGAACACGAACCAGGGCATAATCAAAAACCTATTGTACCTTTGCTTTTATGTGTACAAGAATCTGATTGCTTGCTTCATCAAATTGTTCTCTTTCTTCCCTTGCATTGTGAAGGCGTGCACGAACGGCCTTCAATGCGATAATCACCTATAAAATAATGTTTAGTCGTATATGCATTCTCCAGCCAAAGATTATGAAAACAAAAAAAACACTCAACAGGATTCATTTTGTAGACTATAGAATTGGCAGGAGTGACATTTGACATTTGATAGGCTCCATTCACATGGACGATTTACCGTCAGATTACATGTTACCTAAATGCCTAGAACTAACAATCAAATAAACAGAATTGGGAATGACTGCGATCTCCTAAAGTGCATATTTTCTTTGAAAGCATAAAACGAGTGACATAAGAAACACAGGAGGAACCTTTTTCAGTTCATTTTGGAGTTCTTCTCTTTGCCTCTCAAGTTTTCCGATCTCTGCCACCAGTTCCTGAAAATTTACTAAAATTTGTGTACCTCAACAACAAAATGATCACAACCAAACAAATTTATCCCGAATAAACAGTCCACTATATCCAAATTAAAATTTAACGGTGGCACCAATAAAAAGATGTCATTTATCTGTTCTGTAAAATATTATTACAGATGACTAAATCATACAGAGGCCTTTCTAACATAACAGTTTCTACACGTACTAGCCATGGGTATGAAAACTGAGGGTGAACTCTGCAGTTTTTATTTAATCATCAAACTAAATTGGCACATACCATTGTGTTGGATACCACAAATCCTGAGAAACTAAAACTCATTTTAGAAATTAACGTAATAGAGAGGCTTCAAGAAATATAACTTATTAATTGAACCTCAATTAACATTTGTAGCTTATTCAATCAAGACATCTCTGTGCAAAAGAGTTACATAGTTGGACGCAAATAAGTCCTTTGAGGCAATATACCTTCTCCACTTGGCTTACTTCATTAGCTTTAGCTACACGAAAGCTGAGTGCTTCTTCTTCCTGAGACCTGCTTGAAGTATTGAAGGACAAAACAAAGAAAAGCATTTTACCAAAATCAAAGCCAACCAGATTAAGAAAACGCATATGGTCAAAATTTACACATTTTCCATGTCAAATAGCGATTAATCAAATATCATATTGGAGATGCATGCCCTGACATGCACCAAACAAGAATTGATCACAAAGTGCACTATCCCCTTACAATTCCACACAAAACTATCTTCACACAGGATGTGATAACTCTTTAAACTCAAATCATCGGTCAAACGCAGTCATGGTGAACACTATCTTCACAATGGAAAAGAAAGAAATAAATATATGCTAACTCTTTAAATTATTGGTATACTTGGTCATGACGGAAATCTTCACAACGGATGTGCTAACTCAAGCATCTATTTTCTTGACACATATGTAGTGATACAGGGACAGAAAAATAGAGAATGGAAACCTGCATGCATAAGCTCGCACCCATAGACACAAGAAAAAATCTTTTAAGATAATATTTGAAACCTGTGGTCTGAAATGCGCTTTTCAGCTTGTGAGGTGGAGTTAGCAAGAGATTCTGATAATATTTTCAATTTCTCAACCTGCAAGACATAGAACACGGCAGTTAAATACTAATAAGAGAAGTCTTGACCCAAGACTAAGAATATGGGGCCTAATATCCTGAACAGGTGCAGTGCCCCTCTAGCGGCACAGTTAAGCTTCTTGTTTAGTAACAAAAGAAAAAATGAAATATAGAAGAATTTTAGAACTTCTGTAAGATGACTACTTGACAATTGGTTTCCTTGACCTTTTCATAATGCATCTCGGGTGAGTCCCCATTGCTCAATGATTTCTTCTTTAGTAACAGAGCCTCCAACCTGGAACATAGTTGAATTTCTACAAGCGCGTCTTTTAAATTCTGCAAGGAAATCAAAACTTTCAGTCATTTGCACTTAACTACCAAAACTCCTTATAAAAAATCATCGCAAATACAACTGCATCTAAAATGAATGACCAGTTAGCTGCCTGAACCATGCTCGGCACAACTGCACTAAATCTGAACCCAAAATACCCTATTCACATTCGTTTATCCTTCTTCTAAAATTAGTTGAGCACAGTCCTTGGACTAAATTAACTGAAGCGCAGTGTACAGCTCTAATAAAAAAGATTAACAGAAATGGTCAAGTGATGATTACAGTACTAAGATATAACAAGATAATACATACGTTTATGCTTTTTGATGTGTTAGAAATGGGAAGTTGGGAACACATCGGATATGAAAATATTATTACAGAAGCATAGATAAATCAAATAAAACAAGTATGCAAACAAGAAAAGAGATGTCTTCCTAAAGTCAAAAGAAAGGTTGGACATAAAATCATCTCAATTGAAGTCTGTGCATGTATGGGCTATGTATCTGCATGTGTGCGTGAAACTCCATGCAAATGTGAGTGGATTTGAATACGTATGTCGTGCATCTGCATAAATAAGAACGTCAAGCTTACCTCTATTGTCGCATCTCTTGTCTTCTTAGATGATTTTTCACAACCTTCACTAAGAGGCTTCTGTTGTGCCATCAATTTATCAAGTTCTTCCCTTATACTGCAGGCTTCAGCATCTATTCTGAGAGCACGGAACAAGTCACCGGAAGATGTGGAGAACAAGATTAGGTGAATAAACATTCATTAAAGGAAATCAATAAAGCGTAAGCAAACCAAAAATAAATACTGTTATTACTTTCCTATACAAAATCAACTACCAAAGGCAACCAAACTATAAGAGCTCATACTAAAATGGTATAGAAACACAGTTACAAAAATAATCATGCTTAACTGGTATGACGTTTCATAAATCAAATGCATACAAAGAACACACGCAAGCGCTCGCAGCCTCGCACACACACAGATCATATATATACATATATAGTGCATATACATTATACATATTGAGAAAGCGTACTGACTATCAACATTCAAACATGTAATTGTAACTTTGATAAGCAATGCCTACTGCAGCATATAGAGAACAAACTTAACATTTCAAGGCTTGAAGTGGAGCTATTATATATCAAAGAAAAAACCAGCACAACACAATACATCAGAGACCAATAATAAAACAATCATTTACATTCCAAATATCTCTTAGGGCTTATGTCAATGCCCAAACATGCAGCAATAAAAATGGAAAAACTGTGTTCCTCAACGACCACCTTGCAAGATCTGCATTTATTTTCAGCCCTGCAATTGCACTTTGAGCAAATTGGAGCAATTCCTCTCGCTTTATCTGAAAAGAGAAGTAGAATGTAAAACAGAGAAGAGAGGAAGGGATGCAGGTGCTAAAATAAAAAAATTTAGTTTGCAACATGATTGTGTGATGTTAAAAATGCTGCTGCTTTTTACTTAAGCTATGGTATAATCTGGAAAATTAAAAACATGGTGCATCATGTAGCGAGAAAACCATGCTTTGCCATACAGAAGATGGCGGTTTGAGAACATGAGAAAAAAGGGAACAATTTGTTGGGAACTTGAGCCTTCAGATGATAATAATATATCAATTCTAACAAGAAACACCTTATGTCTTTAAAACTTAGATTGGATTGAGACTGAAAATCTCAAGCACAACATTAATTTATTAGATCATAAATCAAAGGACGGGAAACTTGCATCAAATTGTAGCATACTTAATGGTTCCATCGGCTAAATGAGCTTCCTAGTACCATTTAGAGTACAGGCTCGGGTTCTGAGATTTATATGGCCCCTTGCAAAAGCTGAATATAGGGACCCTTTTAGGTGTCTGATCTCAATATTATTTAGAGGCATACAATCTAAACCCTATGTAAATGCACATGCTGTCATGCTGAAGACATGCATACCCCGTCCTTACCAGTACTTCATCTTGATAGTACGAAAGTGCAATTGCCAAATTCTGTACGCTGCTCATTACTGCATTATGTACTTCCTTTCCTCCTGTAAGACAGAGCCTGTATATAACCATACAAGAAAATTCACGTAATATTTAATATTCAAAAAATATTATCTGCAAAAGCTATCTTTAGAGTTTAGATAAATCTTAAATATATTTTTTAGTCAACCGAATAGAATTTTTTTAACTGTCACCTGCTAAAACTGTAATTTTAAGGACCTAAGTTGTCCCAAACAAGTAATGACAATAACAATCGGCCATAATAAAAAGATTCGAAGAGTGAGAAAAATCACCCATATATCTCCAAAAGTAGCGAAACTTCTTCCTCATTTGGCTCTTCAAGAATCTGAGTCATACAAAAGAGTTAACCTGCGGTTAAACTCCATGGATCAGCAAATACAAAGCCCAGCCATTGCATACAGAAGTCACTAAAACTCAAGGGAATGCTGAAAGGATGAAAATTCTAGATATCATACTTCTAAAACTTTTCACACAGGTTAGAAGGAGAAGAAAGAAATCTTAATCCATCAGAAACATTTCATTCAAATTTTCCTGTATAATTCAAAAAAAGGTTCTCTCTACTTATAATGGAATTATTATGCACACCGTGGATACTGTCATGCCCTCCAGAGCTTGGCTATGAAGAAAGTATGAATAGAGAAATCTCGCTTTACCGGTGCTCTATTCACTCGTCATATATACACTAGGGATCAGCTTTGTAGTTGGTAGCAGAAAATAAACACTTCCTTCTAATTCTATGTCAACCAAGTATGAATAGAGAAATCTCACTCATCATATATTATATTACAAGGAGAATGTTATCAAGCCTATCGAAAGCGAACATTTGTACTTGTTCAACTTACCGTGGATAATGTCATGCCCTCCAGAGCTTGGCTATGAAGAAAGACATCACGAAAAGTTTTCGGTTCATCTCCGGCATCAGAGTCTACGTAATAAACCTGTCGCAAACATTAAAGCAAGAATTACAGAAGAGCAACTAAAAAACAACAGCAGCAGCGAACACGAAGTGTAGGACTTACTCACCAGGGTAGGTTTCCTCGGGGAGTCTGCTGACTCATCGGATTTAAGGTGGTCTTCAGAACCCTTTCCGTTTCTCGCGTTGTAAAGGGTGGACAGTCTCTCGATTTCTTTGAGTGAAACCAGCCACCTCCTCAGCAGCTGAACCCTTTCTACACCTCTACAAGAAACAGAAGCTTCTTCCAATCTTTTCACAGTCTGCTTAAAACTCTGTAAATTCCTGGGACGCTGAGAAGCAAAAACCATGCAAACAGAACTTAATAGTTAAAATACAAAAGCTCAAACCAACAGCAACCAAACAAATAAATAAAGCAAATATGAAAAGGGCATTCATTTTTCTCGAGATAAATTGGGTCCGTTTGGACATGTTTCTCTAAAATGCACTTCTTTTCGAAAGCATTTTTACTAAAAGCACTTTCGATAGAAGCTTGTTGAACTGATTTTCGCACTCTCATTTGGTCCCTTATTCTCCCCTTATTTATTCAATTTTACAATTAGAAACAAGAGGGCGAGTGGAAAGGAGTAAAGGGGAGTGCAACAATCAATTTCCCAGCCAAAATTCAATTGCTTTCTGAAAAAGCAATTACAAGTGTATGTGTAACAACCAAAAATGCTTTTGGCCATTCTGAAAAACTTCCAAACAGGCCATCCAATTTAACAGAAAATAAGACATTAATAAGTGGACTTGAATCAAAATATGATTCTTTTGTCAAACGGAAAACAAGTGAGGAAAATGGTACAATGCGGTCAGGGAGGAGGAGTCTAGCTCCGCCGGCGACGGCATTGCCGGCGTGGAGGACGACCGTGTCGGTGTAGTTTCGAACGGTGCGGGTGAGGCTGTTGGCGGCCCCTGCTTCCACTGCCAGGTTCACCGCATTTCTAATCCACGACATGTCATCCGACGGACTCTCTCCTTTTTGTCTCGCAATTTCCCGCCCTCCAAACAAATAATGAAATAAATATTGAGAAATTAAAAGAATAAATTACAGATTTAATGGTCAAATTGGGCTGATTTTGGGTTGATGAACGCCGGAAGAGGAAGACGAAGAGGAACGAGTCGAGCGATTTCTTTTGGGTGCAACTGCAAAACGAAATCAACGGTTTTTTCTGGTTTTAGTTGGGACTGCTTTGTTTGCGCGGTTTTCTTTTCCCTTTTGTTCCGATTCCTTTTTGGCCTTTTTGGACTACGAATTTACCAAACTGCCCTCCTTCTTCCCTGTTGCATGGGGACCTGGAGGAATTCTCGGAAGAAAACGCTTAAATTTTTTAAGCCTTCACGACGTCGTTCCAGGCTTAAACTTTAATTCTCTCTTTTTTTAGTCACTTTTTATTCATTAATAATTTCAATTTGTACTTGATATAAGAAACATACTTATGAGAAATTCAAAATTTACATGCAGATATTTAGTTTAGGGATCAAATTTTTTTTTTTTTTTTTAATACAAGCGGTCCAGGGAGAGGGAGGAGGGATAGAAGGGTTTGAACCCGAACGAGAGGAAAACTCAAATTACTAGGGCAAATCCATCACTTGTAATTCTCATGTTTTTTAGTTGATGAATTAATATTCAGGGATTTCTAATCCAGGGGCCAAAATCCCAAAGCCAAAGTACCAATGCTCCAATTTTCGCTTTACCAGTAATAGTGATTTGCGGCTTTCCTATCTTTGTTTCAATTTGTGGGAGTTTCGTGAAGATTTTTCCAACAAAACGATATTCCAAATTTCTTTAAACTACAAAGAGAGAGGTTTCAACTTCTCTTTTTTTTTTTTTTTTAATACATTAGATATTATCTACGCAAAGTATACTAAACCTCACAGTGGATTAGCCATAATAATTTGTTTCAAATTTGTTTTTAGCGAGATCCGCAGTACAAAGTGGCAAGAGAGGTTTCAACTTAAGTACAAGGAAGGGACAATCCATGCTAGCTAAGTGGCCTAAGAAAAAGTGATTCACTAATACAAAAGGAGAAGGGCAAAATGGGAGGGGCAAGTGTGACAAGAACTTTTATTCTTTAAGAGAGCTTTATTTTCTTTCCTATCAAAATTCGGAAATTCTAGTACAATGTCAATGGCTTGGATATTACACTGATAATACAACTGACCAAAAAAGAGTAATCACCAGTTCTATTATGTGCATAGAATGCAGATGATCAGCAACAATGTGGAGTATTGTTCTCTCTACTTCATCTATAGCTAGTCCTCGAAGCCACCAACACCGCCGTGTTTGGCCAAAGGGGAGTTGCTTTTCTGCAAGTGACATCCATCAGTCAATTTCCGGCAATGGCACTTTCCAGTAGTTCCACGAGTTGAAGTCTTCCTGCACATATGTCGAAAACCAGGTTCGTCCATCATCAGCGATGAAGACAAAATTGAGTTAGATACTATGGATTATGTTCGGAGGAAAGGATGCAAAAGAGTATTTACCTGCTCAACCAGTGAAGTTGGAGGAAACATGTCGTTGACAAGAGTGTGCAGAGATGTGTACGTCTTCACATCAACGGGATGATGGCTGATGGCCACCTCACCCTGCCAGTTAATCACCACGGTTTAGCCACACAAGAGACATGCATTGCTCTTTTTCGTTTGTAAAAAGCATCACCGGAAGATAAATATGAAATATACCTTGGGATTGATTATGAATATTTTGCCCTTTGGAATCCCAATTTTCCTGTAGCTGAGCTCATCCGTGTCTCTATTTCCAAATCCTGCATAGAATGGATTGTAATCGGCGGGGAAGAGTTTTTTAATGTCCTGCAATATATGATTTAGCAATTAGCATGCATCGCAACTGTTAGAAGAAAGGGATACAACCCAAAGTGTTCGAATTTGAACTCGAGCTAATCTTTATCTCCTACTTACCTCTAAACAGGCAATTTTGAATTCATGTGGTGCTCTTCTTACAACTGCCATCAGCAAATAGGAAAAAACAAACTGATCAGCACCAACTATATAATCTCAAAACTTAAAGCAGGCAGAATTCAAAATCGTAAGCAACTAAATGAGCTATTTAGTATATGGTAGTGGTGGTATGATGTATAACGGAGACAAACTAATATCTTATTTGTCAAAGGTCAATGAACTAACAAATGATGAAGTCAGTACCGTCAAAGCCAAGTGAATGACACATCAAAAGGTTCTCATGATTGCATATCCAAATCTATAGAGAATGTGAGTCTCATCCAGTGTTTAAAATATCGGTATCGGTGGAAATATCGATCGTATATCGATATTGATATCAATTGCCTTCGATGGAAATGATGGAAATTTGCTCAAAAACGTGAAAATTTAAAATTATTTTTTTAGGGAATGTCATATGAAGCCACAACACAAGTACGAATCAAGAATTAATGATTAGATAATGTGTAAACAATAGGTATGTGATATGTGAGAAGAAAAACTTCCTTCTAATGACAAGTAATAAGATAAAGCATTTCGCTAGAAAGAATAAATTACATATAAGTTAGTTGAAATTTTCGTCATGAAAGCAATACAAGTTTTATTGAAGTAAACTAATACCATAAAGAAAGAATTTAAAAAATAAAGAATACATAGGCTCATGGATATTTCCTGCAAACTTTTTGCAAATTGTCTGCAAACACTGGATATTTCCTGAAAATATCGAAAATATCAAGGAAATTGACTGATTTCCGGAAATATCGCGGATATGGGGTGAAGTTTAGACTTCACCCCCTCTTTCCATATCATTCCCTGAATTTTTGGATATTTCCGTGGAAATATCGAGCATATCCAGGATATTTGAAACATTGGTCTCATCGGATATCAATAGTGAACTGGAAAGCAAGAATAGTTGCTTGTTTAACAGAGCACCACACATAACAATGTCATGGCCAAAATACGCTGATTTGATCCAAATCATCCTACCACCATCTAAAAATCTATTTTGTCATAAACACTACAAAAACTTCCAGTGTTTGCCTTTCTGCATTGTTAGTTTCCATTTGGGTTTAATTTTCACAGAGATTTACTTCATGAGAAAAGCGGTAACGTCTACAGTTACAGAGTGGGCATAAACAACATTATAACAAAGTTAGTTATGCAAGCAGAACATAAATTAAAGAGATGACCTCACCTTCACGAAACAATGAAGGAAATAATCCATCAGGTGAGATAACAACAGGTCCATTGGGTAAAGCTTTTCCATCCTGCAAGTACAGGAGAGTAACCAAATTGGTTATGCAATTCTATCAACAAAGCCTCGACAATCTCAATCTTACAAGTCTAATATCTGCCTTTAATCACATAAAGGAGGTAAAGAACAAAATTTTGGTGTTGGATTAGAAGGAAAGGGAGACCAAAAACCAGGCTATTATTAGATTACCTGTTTTAGGTTGAGTAAAAAGCTTCTCGTTAGATATGCCTGTACGATTGCACGTGCACTCAAAAACAGTAGCTGATATCCATTTTCCTGTATTAAAAGCAGGAATCAATATTAGATAGCCGTCCACAAAAGAAAAGCAAATCAGTCCATGACAATGTAAAAATAAAATTATAAAAATTAATTGCAATGTTCCTACAATGACCTTAATGAACCTTGACTGAGAATCAAGCCGATAACCTTAATTGATAAGTTATGCAATCAAGAGATGTACCTTAATCGCAGAGAAAAGTCTAGACACACCAGTATGCGTCCAATCCTTTCCAACTAATGGCATGAACTGACCTAACACATCCGATCTGGTAAAATGCATCAAGGTGAAAAATTTTATCATTCAACTAAGCATTAATATTATCATGATGGTAAAATATCTTGTCTTTTTTGTATCTTGAAATGTTTTTTTTTTTTTTTTATAGCTTTGCAGATTTCATGTGCTGTCGATAGTCCAAAGACTAATTTGTATGATTGTCCAGCACTAAACTACATCTCCTATGGCAATGGAAAGTTGCAGAAGCAATCCTATTTAGCAATCCAAACCATATTACATGACAGTAGCCTTACTTGGTAATAGTTCCATCAACATCAGAAATTACAATTCTGGCATTCCATTTCCACAAGTATATATGTGCATCAACCTGGTAAAGATAAACATGGGTTAGCAGCTAAATGGTAGAAATATACAACTCTATCCGGCTATAGCTCAAAATATAGTTGAAACACCAGATGATTGGCAAACCTGTTGTGTCCCCCAAACCCTTGTAGAGAAACTGAAAGTTATCATATTTTGACCTTCTTTGAGATTTAAAGATGCTATCTGCTCCGTGGTGGGAACATTTGTCCTTACAAATTGCTTCTGAGGGGACTCAGGAACCGTTTCAACTTGTGAGTTCTGCAGACCAGATTCAGAATCAACAAATTCATCCTCATTTGATGAATTACTGTCGGTGTGCTCAAGTGTTTTGACCCTCCTAAATGGAATGGGCCAGAGCCTCCATCTGCGTCCAGAAGGAGTGGAGGGTGTTCCAGGATCCTCATTCCTTGGTTTTTCTGAGCCATCTTGTTCGACAGGAATTGCATCCTCGGGCTCAACAGATAAATCTAGATTAAAAGCAGCCATTCCAAGAACAGCAGGAGCTGCTTTTTCCCACGAAAAGTATCTTTCCCTATATCTGACAATCAGATTTTCATTTTTCAAAATTGATGTTGCAGAAGTTATAAAATCCTCTGCAGATACACGATGTGCAGCAAAGGTTTCAGCAGCAGCTTTCACCCCCATACCTGGACGAAGTTCATTCGCACAGAGAGAAATCTCAAACCCTGGAAATTGTACAATAAACAGAAATTAGACTATGGCAAAATAGGGAGATTTAAATAACAATTGGAGCCGGTAAGAGGTGCTTACTTATGCTTGAATGGACTTGTATTTCTTCACTTGACAATTCTGGTGGGGGTTCTATTAGCTCATTTTGTGTTTCTTCGCTTGAAGATTCTGTTGGGGGTTCTATTAGCTCACTTTTACTGCATTCATCTACACTTTCAGGTCTTTGTTGATTAATTTCTGTCCCATCAACCACTGCTGATGTAGCACACTGTCCATCCTTCCAGTCTGGATCATTACTGACAGAATGTACAGAAATGCTGTTAATACTCATTTGTTCTGCAGAACACACAATCTTCTCAATTGATTCATTTTCAACTTCCAAGTGTGGAGGCATATTGTTGTCGGGTGAAACAGAACCAGAAGATGCAGATACCTCATCGTTATTTCTCAAGTCAACAGTAGCATCTTCAGTTCTATCAACCACCGGAAGAGTCTCATGAGATGTTTCTGGTGAACTTTGAACCTCCAATGAGGACCCCATATTTTCAACAACACCTTTCACTTCATGTTTGGCCTTTTCTTCTAGCTCCAAACAGCACTTGAAAACATCTTCCTTGTTAGCAGATGTGTCTTCTGAATTGCTATGCATCTGAAGATCTCTTTCCTGTGTTGAAGTCTTTTGTGTTTCTTGAGCTTGACATGCGCATTCCCCTTCTCTTTCATCAACTTCCAACTGATGTCCAATAACATTATCATCCTTCTGGACGCTGCTGACATTCCCAGAAGCAACACTAGCTGTAGATGCATTCAGCTTACTGATATAATCAGCAGCCCAAGCAGTTTCACCTGAACTAAACTCCTCGGTGCCTTCACAGAAGTCCGTCTCTTCACCTGGACCCAGATTGAATCGAGGTGTGTCTAATTCCACATTCTCTGCGGTCTGTTCTGATGCTGAGATGGGAGCTGTCAATACATGACCATCTACACTCACCAATATAACTTCCGAGTTTAAATTCTGTGATTCCACAATACGCTCACTGTCTAGATTATTGTATCGACTAGACCCATACCCCGATAACTCAACAGAACCCTCTAGAGAAGATTGCTCATCTTGAAATTCATAGAACCTCCGATCAACATCAGATTCATGCCCTCTCCATCCGTGTTGCGCCAAACGAATTGTGTTCCTCTCTCATTTCAACCACCACAGAATCAGAGAAACTGTGCTCAAGTCTACGAATGTCATGACTTTGGCCATCACCATCGAAAGTATTATCCCCTTGTGTAGCTTCTGAATTTTCAGAATCCTTGACAACCCCATTTATCTCACTTACTTTACCCGATTCAACCTCCTGTATAAAATAAGCCTCACCCGAGTTATCAAGATACATATGGAAATTGGCATCTGTGCCATTTACATTGATGCGGACCATCTTCTCCGCACCTTTGAGAACACCCTGAAATTTACCAAACCGGACATACCAAGGCGTGCTCCGAAACGTCCCATCCTGCTGCTGAACCACAATGACATCAACAGCCCCGCCAAACGGATGAAAAGGGGTGGCAACAGAGTAAACACCTTGGGAAATTAGGCTCCCAACTTTGCCAACCACATTCATTGGTTCAAACCTACTATCAACCACTCAAATTTTTGTGAAACCCCAATTATCATCTAACCTCAAATCTCTAATTCTTTAATACATGCATCGAAAACTCTGGTTCCGTGATCACGATTCCGATCCTTTTCCGGTATCTGCATAACATGCAACGGAATAAAACTCAAACAAAGTGGTTTCCTAATTGGAAGAATCCACATAAAAAGAAACAACCAATGTCATCTAAAAGTCATTGGAAACCCTAACACCCTGTTTGGTTGCCAAGAAAATTCGTGGGAAAATTAATTCTACAGTCCCCATCAAAAAATTCGAAACCTTTCGATACAATCCGTACAAATTGAGCTCTAAGATGCTCAAAAGTCTCAAATTTGATTCCCTGCGATTTCTAATTTTCTCGGCAACCAAACAAACCAATAACCCAATGCATACAAAAATTAAACAATTCAATCAAATACCCAAAATTGAGAAACTTAAAAAACCCACATTGAAAAATCATAAAGTGTATAAAATTAGCAAAATAACAAGAACATTGTGATTAAATCAAACTTACGGGTTCGTATTGCAAAATTCATGAAAAATTAGAGCAATCAGATAGCTCAAACACTCGAAACAATTCTCTATGGCACCGTTCTCCTTCAATTTTGAATTTTTCCTTCTGGGTTTCTGTCCCGACGGCGAATTGGGAAATCCAACCTCTGTAGTTTGAACACTTATCGGCTTCGAAGTCTGGATTTCCGTCGGGAGGATTCGTCTGGATGAACAGAAAAAAGCCAGAGGTAGAAATCTCCGCGGCGAAGCATTAAATAGGTACTCCTGGGAGTAAAATACCGAACGAGTCCTGTGGGGTCAAGGAAATTTCGTGTGGAGTTGCCGGCTGTGAAGTGTAAATATCAGGGTTTGTATAAGGGTAGTTTGGTGATTTTGGGTTGGTATTACTTCGTTACTGAGATCAGATGTCGTGTCGCCAGACTCGCCGCTCGCCAGGTTTGAACAGGGAGAGAGACAGAGGGGTCGGACCGAGAGCAAATCTTCATATTTGGTGTGGCTTGACCCGTTATTATTTGACACTCGTTAAGTATAGGATAACAAAGTTAGCAAAATTAAATTTTTAAATATGTGTTAATCAATAATTCAGGTCACAAAGAAGCTTAACTCATTTTGAGTGCACAATATTTAATCTCGGTCAAACCACTCCCTCAAGGTAGAGAAATATTTCATTGTGTCGGAATTAGGGGTATATAAAAATTCATAGTACAATTAGTTGAAACTTCTTTTTCAAATTTTCAATCAATTGTATTATCAAACTTGATATACCGTTCCATATTTTCGATGCACTTAAAAAAATCCCTTCTTAGAGTCATATAAGTCTTTGTCTCCAAGGTTAATACGTTTCTTATTAGATTGTCTATCGTGCCCTCTAAACCTTAATTTTTATTCAATTTATGTCTTATTGTGTTTGGGTTGAGGTGTTACTTGATAAATTATATTTTGCCTCTTTTTAAGTTTGAAAGCAATAACAACGTGTTTGCATTGAGGTGTTACTTGATAAATTATATTTTGCCTCTTTTTAAGTTTGAATGCAATAACAACCTCAATCGTCATTTTAAACCATTTTAAATTCATGCACAGAGTTATGATTTAGGTACAATGTCATACAATAGTTAGAAAATTTGTTAAGTTAACTGCTAAATGATGATCTGACAAATGCAGGTCGATATTTTTGCTAACGTGGCAATCAATTGCGCCATGTAGATAAAAATAAATTATATTTTAAATATTTGATTATTTCAAATAAATGAAAATTAAATTAAATTAAAAAATAAACCTAAGTAAAAAATAAATAAACCAAAAACTCATCTTCCCCGTCCAAAGCACCATCTCTTCCACCCTTTGTTGTTGTCTAGTTTTCCAACAACTCTCCCAACCGGTTTTGGTCATAAATTCTCATCTTTCCGGATGAGGGGCCAGATGGCAACATCAACAACTAGTTCTGATAACTGGTTTGGAAGGCAAGAACACCGTGATTGTGACAGCCCGTCCCGGACTTTTCGTACCGTAGGGGTGAAATGACGTTTTTGCCCCTAGCATGGTTATTTCGTTGTGTGGTTGTTTTTGGATTTTGTTGGCAGGTTTTGGACCACACACACACACTCCCACACCCCTATCACTTTTTCCCTTGCCCTGCACCCCTGTCCCGAGTCCCCTCTCTCTCCCATTTATATCCAATACGTACGGACACAATCAAAAACCATCCAAACCTTCACAGATCGAGGAAACAAATTACATATTCGTGCTCGTGAGGTCCGTAGGAGTTCAACCATACCCATTTCAGGTAAGGATACCTTCGTTTTCACGTCGAACTCGGGATACCCCGATTTGGTCACTGTTCATGCACACGTTAATCCTTGTGTTTTTGGGAATTTCAAGCTTGTAGGAAGCTTGGTGAGGTCTTTAGGAGGCTCGGGGTGGTTCGTTTGAAGGTTTTGGACGTCGGGATCGTGTTCAAGGTTGGCCGGAGTTGGTGGTGTTTTCCCGGCGAGATTCCGTGGATTTTAGTACTTGAAAGTGGTATGGATTTGTTCCTCTTGTTGTAAGCTTCATTTTGGTACCAATTTTGTGAAATTTGGTTGAAAAACGAAGAAGATACGAAGTTTTAAAAATTTCCCAGTTTTCCGGCGCCGGCGACAGCGCTGGAGCTTCGCCGGAGAAGACGACGGAATATTCTGTCAGTCTGGACGAAATATTCCTAACGGTGTTAACGGAATCCGTTAAAGTTAATGAAATATTCCTGACGGCGTTAATTGACTCCGTCAGTGTGCCAGGCACGTGCTTGCGCGTGGCCGGCGCGTGTGGCCGTGCCTTGGCTGGCGCGTGGGGGCCCGTCCGGCGTCAGAAAATTTTTCTAAAAATATGGGGATGTTCCTGAGGTTGAGTAGATCACGTTGGTGTATTCATACACCCCATTTGAGCATTGTATGAGAAGTTATTTCGTAAGGTTGGTTATGTGCTTTAAAATTAACGTTTTTATAGTTATTTCGCATATAGGTGAGACCTATCCCGAGGACGAGCGCGGTCACTCGAGGCAAGGGGGTTACGACCCTTCTACATACCAGTGAGTGGGCTTTTGGTTTTCCGTATATACCTATATACTTATACTTTTCCCAAAAGTGACATGAAACATTATACGTTTATATGCCACACTTATTATTTGCCATTTATTTACGCATTATTAGTCGCATATGTATATATATGTTTAGTGCTGCGGACGCACAGGTAAGTGCCAAGTGAGTTGTGATTTATGTTATGTTCAGTAGTGATTTGAGATATATAGAGAGCTCATAACCTGCACCCCCGGTGTTAGTGCTCCCGCCTAGAGTTGGGCACAGTCCTTCACGTGATGTTCACCTCCCGCACCACACGCTCATCTTGGATCCAAGTTAGGTGCACAGTCCTGTCGTACAGACCACTTTAGGCGGTTCCGACTCGTAGGTGACCCACGATTCATCGCCCAGCCTTCACGTGATCGTAACACTTGAGCGTATATATATTACACCCAGTCCTGTCGTACAGACCACTCTAGGTGGTTCCGACTCGTGTGCAGGTATAGTTAGTGTGAGGGAGATTTGAGCTCTAGATTCCGCCGTACAGGTCACGTTAGGTGACTCCGGCTGACAGCTTACATGGCGTTGATTTGACATTCCCGAGCACTTGCATTATATTTAGAGACCTTTGGCATGGCATATTTCCGAGCATGAATTATATATGTATGTATGTATATTCTATTTTTCTGGGAAGTATACAGGTTTTACGGCGAGGGGTTAGAATCTTGTTTTGAAATGGTTTTTTTTTTTTTTGAGAAGCTTTGTTTTTGCCCACTCACACTTTTGTTTTGCGCCCCTCCAGGTTCTAGTTGGCTAGCATTGTTGGTCGCTCCCCAGAGGATTTTCCTGGCATATCTGATAGATTATCACCAGTGTTGGACCACTTTCGAGTGTGTTTATGTAGTGTCGTTTCTCCCGGACTGCATTAGGTCTTCGTGCTCTGAACTTTGTTTTCACACTTACGCTTGCACATGTATGTTCTTACTTTGTGTAAAGCTGGTTTTTTATTTATTCGTACTTTTATTATTATTTTATTAGCTTCCGCACTATGCACTTGGTTACGTTACTTCCACGTGACGGCCAGCATGCCCTGATCCTGATCGAGGTGTGTCAGTGGTGATGAATCTCAACACATTAGAATGCTTCATCTGGTCGATGATGGAATTCATGTGAAGTTGATATAAGGAAGCACTAGACGTAATTAGTGGCAGACTCGTAGTCCTGGGCTTTGAGGAACTACTTGACATTGTTGATTCAGTTGATGCACTTGGCAATGGCGTCAAGGCGATAGAGCGTGGACTTGAGACATTGGGCGAGGTCAGGCTTGCTGACCTTGGCGTTGGTTTGTGAGGTCACTAGTGGAGGTGACGTTGGAGAGGACGTGGTCGAAGTCAGCCTTGACATCGTTGGTGGATGTGGAGGTGACATCATGGTCAAAGATAGTGAGTGGAGGTGGCATTGGTGAAGCACTGGAGGTTTTAAAGGAACTGGATCCCCTCCGAATCCAAAGGAATTGAGCTCAAAGATCAAAAGATTCGGAGCATTAAAATTTGATCCAACGGCTACAATTATTATAACTCTTAGAGGGGCCCTCTGTTTGAAGCAATTAGATCAAATTTCAATGGGCTGGATCATTTGATCCTTAGGCTCATATTTTTTATCCTTAGGCTTAGATTTTTTTGCCTCAAAAGGGATCCGGTTCCGGTTCTAAAGGTCCCTAGAGAAGAAGGTAGGCACATGTTTTTCCTTTTTTAAATTATTTTTCTTCAATAATTAATTTTTTTTTATTTGCCACGCCATAAAAAATGTGGGCTTTATATTTGTCATGTCATCATTTAAAGGCTAACTTAACATATTTTTAACAGTTGTATGACATTGCAACTAAATCATTTTAGAGTTAAAAAAAAATCCCATTTTTTCTTCTTTTTTCTTTGCTTATTCACACTAGATTCAATTCACTACAATTAAACAGTAGTAACATAATATAATATAATTACTAACCATAATTTAAGTAGAATATATAATTATAAAATGAAATTAGAGTGCATGTTCAATGGTGAATTGTCACATCCCGGCCCGGGCCCCCACCACATCCCGCGCTCGACTTCACCATAGCACGATATTGTCCGCTTTAGGCCCCGACCACACCCTCATGGTTATGTTTCTGGGAACTCACACGAGAACTTTCCAGTGGGTCACCCATCCTAGGATTGCTCTCGCGCAAACTCACTTAACTTTGGAGTTCCGATGAACTACGAAGCCAATGAGCTCCCAAAAAGCCTCATGCTGAGTAAAGATGAGAATATACATATAAGGCTTGCAGGATCCTTACCCCTGAGCGATGTGGGATCTTACATGAATGCTTCAAGCAATTAGGCTGAAAAAATATCGACATTTAGACAGTATTTTAGAAGAATTTAGATTGCGATGATGTATCTTGTGAACAAGTTTGTAGCATATAACCTTCAGTTTCTTAACATAACGTCATGAGCGTGCTTGATAACATGTTGTGGCCAATGAGAGAGAGGGTGCGACATCAGAGGGAGAGAGATGAGGAATTTATGTGATGCTTATTTTCCATCATTTGTGCCTAGTAAACTGATGAGTATTCCTTCCCTTGCAAATAATACAATCACAAAGGAATAAGAT